GGTATTTATACAGATTAGCAACTTTTAATTATAACTCGACCCAATAACTGTATTTGCTTTAGGAGTAACTAATGAAGTCAGATCGTAATACTAACTAAATGGACTAATAACGTCGCCTTCGTACTAACTAAACTAATCATTAATATATCTTTAAGTGCCCACTGCTGAACATAAGCCTCCCCCTTAAGGGGTCTTTCCAGTAGTTGTCAAGCTTGGCTGGCGCGCAGTTAAGCTTTTAGAGATATTTTAAGAGGGACGTTACTGCCCATCCCTCGGCCTCTCTTAGTCGCCTCTTACGACACCCACGAGAAAGGAAGATGTGGCCTATTCTATGCCGGGATCACACACGACGACCTGTGCTATAAATTTCTTAATATAATTTATATTTATTGTTATTGTTGGAACAGCTTTTGGTCTTTCAAATAAATAGATATAACCGTTTCACCTTATGCATCGCTCAACTCACACGCAGCTAAAGACGTATAACTCAGAGGTCGCGGGTCATTATTGCTCAAGAACTTTGTTTAAAAGCTCATTGTTATGTTAATCTTTCGAACAAAAGACCTGTCAACAATGAGTGACCTCTACCGGAGGGATATTGTACTACAGTCTAGAACTTTTACACAGTACTATCCTTGTGTATTGGCTTTGTAATGTTTTGTGATAAATTTAATATAAAATTCGATTAAAATTTTGCCCGAACATAATTTCGTTTAACCTATAGTAAATTTATTTACTTAAACATTTAATATTGTTCAACTTAATTTAAGATTGTCTTGCTCGAAAAAAGTCAATTTCAATTGTTGAAAAACCGAGGGGGAAAGGGATTGTTAGTAATGGAGACTAAGAATCCCATTACTAGCAATGTACTCAACCAGGTCGACCTCCTTGCGGTTCCCCCTGGAAACTATCATGGTTAATTCCTTATGAATTCATCATGATGGGCTAACTGACCTGTTTTCATCCTCATCGGTCACCATTCACTGGTGCCCCGCCAGCGTATCCCATTAGCACAAGCGGGGTTACAACACCATTTTCACCCATAAAAAAAAAAGTTGAAAAACCAGCTATTTTGACGGTGTTATTCCTCTGTACCATGTAAATTCACTGCCATATCCCACCCTTCAAACCGAAACACAGCCATGCAAACACAACTGCTTCACGGTTGAAACACGAATGGGACAAAAGTACTCAAGGAAACTAATACAAAAAGTACGCCATATTTAAAAAAATTAAGTTAGGTACAGAAATTCTGAATCCACCGGTCACATTTAACTTTCGCGCTAAATCAAACTGGTTTACCGCGAACTCGAAATTACTCATATGGATGTTTACGCAAAACATACACCAATTATATGTAATAAAAACCGAACTGTACATATATGTATATAATATATTGCAAAATTGCAAAATATACAACTAAACAACTTTCTACCGATCTAAATATTCACTGATTGTGACCTTTACGTCTATGGCAATACGAGACACGATTAAGTGACGTTTAGCTTCTATCATCGCCCACATTTTTAGGGTTCCGTATCTCCAAAGTAAAAAACGGAACCTTTATAGGATCACTTCGTTGTTCATCCATCCGTCTGTTTGTCGAGACGCTTTTTCTTAGTAACGGATGGAAGTATCGAATTGAAATTAATATCATATACTCAGATCTACAAGTTCTTAAAGCAGTGAAAATATCAAGCTTCTAAATCGACGCAATCAAAAGATACGGCCGTTTATGTTCCGTTCGTATCACATATTTTGACATTCGCAAAGGGAATCAAAACCTATAGGGTACTTCTTGTTGACTTAGAATCATTAAATTTGATAAAAAGCAATATCATGTAGCACAAGTAAAGGAAATAAATCCGAGTACCATAAATTTATAGTTATTACACAAAAAAAAAAAGATTTTGTACGGAACCATCGTTAGGCGAGTCCGACTCGCACTTGACCGGCTTTTTCTATATAGCAACGGTCATTATGTCACAGAAACTTAGTGGAAGTTGGTATAGTCATCATGTTAGTTAGGTGGTCGCTCTGTTAAGGTTTTCGATACATACAAGTATAGTTTCATAATACAGGATGTGACGATAATAGTTATTTTATTCATATATATATATATATATATATATATATATATATATATATATATATATATATATATATATATATATATATATATATATATATATATTTTCAATTTCCATTCCTGGTCTCCTTTGTCGTCCACAACGGTGTTCAGGTCTTTTTTTCTTTAACTGTTTTCAGACAGTCGTCGTCATTGGAAAAATATAAAAAGTAATAAAATTTAAAAAATATTAAATCTACAATAATCATACAATCTAAACCAGCCTTTCCCAAAGTGGGGATAACGCCCCCTTGTACGCGCTGAAGGTATAAAGGGGGGCGATAAGAGATCCAGAAAAAAAATAGGAGCGTTGTGTAGAGGCTTGGGGGATGATATGTTGATTTTAAAATAACAGTGGCTTTTAAGTAGGTGAAAAAATTGGGGCGCTAAAAAATATTTTCTCTCAAAGTTGACAGTAGACAAAATAAGTTTGAGAACCCCTGATCTAAACGAACATAACAACGGTTCATTCATTAAAATGTATAAGTCTATTTCATACATCGCTCATGCTCTAACACTGGTGAAGCCATGTTATCACATAATACGATCGACCTCGCAGTCTATGCATTGTGTTGCTAGTGGCAATTAGTTTAATAAACAATCTTTAGGAGATTATTAATAAAATTATACGCTTATCCGTTAACTACGATCTGTGGTCTCACCTTACCATATGTTACTCGATTGTAATTCATAACTCGAACTTAAATCGTTATGGAAACTCGCCTCAAATATGGATATTAAAATATGTGAACATTAGTAGAGATAATAATAACAATAGTATCAATAGGTGATGGATTGGGCACTCTCGAGAGTGTTTTTAGTGGATGTCACCATACCGCATGACGAGAACCTCATGAAAGCGAGAAAAAGAGAAAATATCTCGACTTGGCTCACGAGGTGACCGAAATGTGGGGAGTGACGTCCACCGAAATCATTCCAACTGTTTTGTCGGTGAACGGTCTTATCCCATCTAGTCAACATCTCAGACGGTTGGGATTCCGATGCGTCTCACTCCCGGGAAAGATGCAGAAAGCGGTGCTCTTAGATTCTGCCCGCATTGTACGCCAGTTTCTCTCCCTGGGGCCTTGAACCCCGGCCGACTGTGCTTCTGCCGAGGCTTAGTTTGCCATCTTCTCTCCTTAAGAGGGGAGATATGAATTTTTGTAAAAATTAAAAAATAATAATCTTTATTGAAACCAAAAATTTACAAAAAAATAGATAGGTTTAAAATAACATATAGAATACCCTATATACTGATTCATACAGCAAAGCCAAAATAAACAACTAGTCGAGTCTATTTATTGTAATTCTCAGTTGCAATACATATTACACTTCAACTTTTTAGATATATTTCAATTTTACATGTAATCACACATTTTAAACCACCAAACGTTTATTGCATACACTTGGAAACAATTATAAATTTTATATTGATGATGTAATACCCACTTTTTTGCCATAAAATAAATAAACAATATTTTTATTTGTGTACGAGTATCAATAAAAGTTTTTCATTTGAGCAAATATAAATTTATATCATAGTAATAAATTCACCATGAAATCACCAATATGTAATCGAATTACATTAGTAAGTGTGCGTTGATAGAGTTAATATAAAATATGCCCCAGGCTGGATTGCGTGTCCGTCGTATCGTTGCCAGGCCTTCAAATATACAAATGACACTATCGGTAATTGGGTAATTGGTACACACTACTGGTCAGTCATTAAGAGCTCTAGAGAGCCATAGGTGTCATGGTTACCACACCGTAAAAACCGTCAACTGTTCACTGCCTCCCCCATAAGGTCATAACGTGTCATGGTAAACCATCCGTATCAATGGAATACAGTTTTCATAATAATCTCTTAGTGTTATAAAAAAAAAATACATTTGAAAATGTGACTTTACGCCAAATTGGAATTTTTTCAAAAAATTTATAGCTATTTTCACTCGATATGATGTAAGAATTCTAACAATATCCCATATACATATCTAATTCAACACCAGACGGAGACTTTGTACAAAAGTCGATTGCTTGGGTACCTCTGTTCCATTCGTGTTTCAACCGTGAAGCAGTTGTGTTTGCATGGCTGTGTTTCGGCTTGAAGTGTGGGATATGGCGTGAATTTACTGGGTACAGAGGAATAACACCTGAGTCCTCAAGAATGGCCGTCAGCTTGTTCGCCATTCTAAGTTGTATAAAAAAAAATCTATTCAGATATTACTATGCAAGTAAATTAGGAGTTACAGTGAAATGAAAAGTAACATTACACTTTCACGTCTAAACCGTTGAATCAATTATGATGGATTTTGGTATTTTATTTATTTATATATTTATTTTAATATTGCATCTGGAATCAATAGTTTATATTTAGAACAATAAAAAAAAATTTATATTTACACCGTACATTAGCCAATTGCAGATTCTTAATTTGTAACCAGACAATATTACGCACAGATAATATTATCCACAGACTTTATATATATTTTATATAATAGATAATATAGATATATATAGGACTCGGTTATTGGCTACTTTTTTACCCAATTAACGAATATTTTCCAGTCTCGCGAACGAAGTCACGAGTATAAGCTAGTACCTACATATATAAAGCCTTACCTTACATTACACTCCTTTTTTTTAATCAATCTAACAAGAAAACGACTCTCTAATTAACAATCTCGTCTCGTAATTTATAATTCTTCTTTATACAGATTTATTAAGTTTCCCCCACTGTTTTCCAATACTTTTCTTTTCTTCGTCAGCTAAATATTTTCCAGAGGAGGGTTGGATGCACGTGAATTTCGACCTGACATTACTAACAATAGATTCACTAGTTCACTATTACAAACAATCCAAATTGTTGTCTCAGATGGCGATAACCTGCGACTGTCCCATGTCGCAGCCGGGGCCCACCCTGGCGGCGACGTGCGGTGGAGGTGCCTTCATGCTGTTCATGGGACTCCTGGAGGTGTTCCTTAGGAGCCAGTGCGATTTGGAAGACCCCTGTGGCAGAGCTCAGGTAAGAATAAGTTATTACACTTTCTTCTTTTAACCTATTCTTCATCTTATCATCAAACCATTTTTGCCATCTCTGTGGTATAAACAAATATGAGTTTAAAATAGCAAACGATGCACCGCTACTTAGTAGGGGGGAAAGGGATTGTTAGTAATAGAGACTAAAAATCCCATTGCTAGCAATAAGCTAAACCAAGTCGACCTCCACGCGGTTCCTCCTGGAAACTGTCATGGTTAATTCCTGATGAATTCATCATGATGGACTAACTAGCCTGTTTTCATTCTCATCTATCACCCTTCACTGGTGCTCCGCCAGCGTGTCCCGTTAGCGCAGGCGGGGTTACCATAACATTTTCACCCACAAAAAAACATACCACTACTTAGTAGTCATCGTCATCGTCATATCAGCCTTTAACTGTCCACTGTTGATAGCATAGGTCTTCCCCTTGAAGGGGTTTGCCAGTCTGCCACGCTTAGCTGGCGGATTGGCAACCGCAGTTAGGCTTTAAAGGCGTTTTAGAGGGACGCTACTGCCCATCCCTGGCCTTCCCTTAGTCGCCTCTTACGACACCCACGGGAAAGGAAGGAGTGGCCTATTCTATACCGAGACCACGCGGCCATATTTGGTAGTAACATGCACTATTTAGACCAGTGTTTCCCAATCTTTTTTGTGCCATGCCCTACAGGAACATTTCTAAAATTTTTATGCCCCATACATAATTTTTCCCGTCAAAGTTTACTTGACGACTCTATTCGCCCAGTTGATATTTTGGTAACATCAAACGAACAAAACGAAATATACCTAATAAATATTTACAGCATTTTTTTTTATGGGTGAAAATGGTATAGTAACCCCGCCTGGCTAACGGGATACACTGGCGGAGCACCAGTGAAAGGTGATAGATGAGAATGAAAACAGGCCAGTTAGCCCATCATGATGAATTCATCAGGAATTAACCATGATAGTTTCCAGGGAGAACCGCAAGGAGGTCGACCTGGTTGGGTATATTACTAGCAATGGGATTCTCAGTCTCCATTACTAACAATTCCTTTAACCCCTATTTACAGCATTTGTTTAATTTAGTTTTTTGTTAAATTTAGCACCGATGATATCTACTCGTAGCATTGCATTTAAATGGCCCGGAGCAAGAGGGTTAAAATCGCTTCGAGTCCATTTCTTAATTGTCCCCCTTAGCTATCAAATTGCCCCCCTGTGGGGCGTAGGCTCCACGTTGGGAAACACCAATTTAGCCCATACTTTAATGATAACAAGATTCACTCTGAAATCCTGCCTCATTACAAACTGAACCTGAATTGAAAGTGCGGTCGTGTCTCCGCGTAGTTTGGAATCACGATTGCGGTGCATTTATCAGTCATTACAGATGGAAATCATCAGAGAAATCCTAACTATGGCTACGTTTGCGGTCTCGAGCTTATAAACATCACGAAATTCAAATGGCCAGCAGATATTGAATCAAATCTGTGTGAGGAAATTAGCAGTGCTTAAATGGTGCTGCTGTAACTGTGAAGGTGACGCCATCTGGTGTCAGAGTTTCTAAGCTGACTATTTTTTTTAATGGGTGATAATTTTTATTTTATTCAACTTAGAATGACAAACAAATTATAATGACAAGTAAATTCACACCATATCCCACCCTTCAAACCGAATCACAGCCATGCAAACACAACTGCTTCACGGTTGAAACACGAATGGGACAGAGGTATCCAAGCAATTGACTTTTATACAAAGTCTCCCTCTGATAGATAGATAGATTTATTTATTAGATATAAGAATTACTAATAATTACTAAAAATCACCTTCTTTAGTTACACCATAATTCCCTACGTTACACCTATTATTCACAATTAATCCCTTACGAAATTTAACAAAAAGAAATTAAATCATCCATACTTAATACTCGTGTATGGAAACAGTTACCTGGCAAAAAGTTAGGAAACAACCACGAACAATGATGTGCGTTCACTTCACATCCTGGTAATGATAGTCATTGTGTGTGTGTCTGGTAAATATCTCTCTAGGAAGCGTTGTCGATGATCTTGCAACGCCGCCATTAAGTGCGCTGATTGGCCACCGATAAGCATAATGATATCACGACATATTAGTACATACATTCGCGTATCCTTACCGTATCTAGTTAGTGACTATGCACTTTCTAGAAAGAAATTGTGTCAAACCTAGGTTTTTTTTTCTACCACTGAGATGGCAAACATGCATACGGCCCACCTGATGGTAAGCAGTTAACGTAGCCTATGAACACCTGCAATACCAGAGGTATTACGCGTGCGTTGCCGACCCTGAAGAAACCTCTTCTTCTTTTGAAGAACCCTATGCTGTAGTCTCTTGGAAAACCTCGGCAGGGAGCTCATTCCACAACCTGAGTGTTCGTGGGAAAAAACATCTCTGAAACCGCGCAGTACGCGACCATTGAGGCTGTAGGACATGAGGACGAACTCTCTGTCTTAAAACATCTCTAAAACCTAACTGCGGTTGCCAATACGCCTGCCAAGCGTGACAACAACTGGCAAAAACCCCAAGGAGAAGCTTATATTCAGCAGTGGACAGTTAGAGGCTGATATGACGATGATGATGAGACCTTGATTGAGTAACAAACGTCCCAATGTATTTGGAATCTTTTTTCTTTATACAACTTAGAATGGCAAACAAGCTGACGGCCCACCTGATGGAAAGTGGTAACCGTCGCCTATAGACATGAGCAGTACCATGGACATAACAGAGTATACTGTTTCGCCCATGATACCCCCCATGCGTTGCCATTCCTAAGGACTCAGCTGTAATTCCTCTGTACCCTGTAAATTCACGCCATATCCTATCCTTCAAACCGAAACACAGCCATGTAAACACAACTGTTTTACGATTGAAACACGAATGGGACAGAGGTGCCTAAGCAATCGACTTTTGTACAAAGTCTCCCTCTGGTAGATTTACTGACTGGATTAAAAAGAAGCCTTATCCATCTTCATCCCATGTAATACATTTATACCACATTTCATAGCCGTTAAGCCATTAAGTCGTTAAGACGCTATAATGTATATGGCGTACTACAGGGTACAGAGGAATAACACCTGAGTCCTCAGGAATGGTAACGCATGGAGGGTATCATGGGTGAAACAGTATACTCTGTTATGTCCATGGTACTGCTCATGTCTATAGGCGACGGTTACCACTTTCCATCAGGTGGGCCGTCAGCTTGTTTACTATTCTAAGTTGTATAAAAAACAAATGTAACAAACAAATTTACTTTCACATTTATAATATTAGAAAGTAATATATAGGCATCTTTTAATCCCCGTTACACAAACATAGTCATGGATAAAAATTAATCCTTACTTATAGGATAATTGTGAAAGTATGTTTGTTTATTTGTTACCTTTTAGCGGCTTAACCTGTCACTGTGACATTTGGTACATATGTACTGAGTAAGAAAAGGGTATAGACATTTTTCAATGCACTTTCTTCCACGCACAACCACTCTTTGGAATCAACTTCCAACAGCAGTATTACCGAACCGATACGACATCATAACCTTCAAGAAAAGAGCATATTCCCTTTTAAAAGGCCGGCAGCACACCTGCAATGCCGTTAGTGTTGTGGGTGATCATGGGCGGCGGTAGTCACTTACCACCAGGTGAGCCGCATGCTCGTTTGCCCCCTGTATTATAAAAAGAGATAGACCTCATCCCGATCAGTGAAGATTCCCCGTTTAGACGAACAAAACCACCAGTAAATTTATTTAGTAAATTAATATAAAACATTGTTACATACTGCATATTCGTGAAAGTCAATCCCTGAATAGATTCAAGAGCAGATTAAAAGAGCATCTTCTGTCCTCATAAACTTATTATGTCTATGTATGAGCTACAGCTGCTTTTTTCTTTTGATGAAATAAGAAAAGCAACGAATGCCGCAAATGCGATTTACTTGGAACGAAACTCGACATATTCACTGAGGTAAACAAATATGACGCTATTATTTTGGCGGAATATGACTTGCGTACTTTTGTAGGTTAATGTCAATAGAAAAAAATGACATACATGCCAAATCATAGAAATTTATACATAATGCTAGCGACATCTACTAGTAAAACCGGCAAACTTCAACTAACACCCCTGGTATATGTACGTGTTTTGTATGTGAAGAGATATTTTATGTTCATATATGTACGAGTATGTATGTGTGTGTATGTATATGTATTATTGTATATATACATGTTATTGTATACAGATATGTATGTATTTTGGTTTTAATTATATGACTTACTTTGTATATATGTCAACATATTTATTATTTCTTAATAGAAACAACTATACTGTCTCCTCCTATTACTGTACGCACACTGCTCGCTGGTAATTAATGCTCCTTTCCACTCAGGGTTTGCTGGAAGAGAACTCTTGCAGAGTTAAGCTCGCCTGTTGTACATCTTTAGTTAATATATATTATATATTAGTAATTCTTTGTGTACAATAAAGTATAAATAAATAATTTTTCCAGTACCGACGCCATATGGACTCGGTGTATGACTTCATAGTGGTTGGGGGAGGGTCAGCCGGCTCCGTGGTCGCTGCCAGGCTCTCCGAGGTGCCTGAGTGGAGGGTCCTGTTACTCGAAGCAGGTAAACAATTTATTTCCTAATGTTTTTTTTTTTTTTATTTTTTTATACAACTTAGAATGGCAAACAAGCTGACGGCCCACCTGATGGAAAGTGGTCAAACACAACTGCTTCACGGTTGAAACACGAATGGGACAGAGGTACCCAAGCAATCGATTTTTGTACAAAGTCTCCCTCTGGTGAAAGTGAATGTTTTATCTATTCTAATATAAGAGACAGAAAATATTTGTCTTTTTGTATGTTTGTTAGTTTCTAATGGATAAACTCAAAAACTTATCAATCTATTTTAAAAATTATTTCACCTATAAAAAATTATATAATGCCAATATATAACATAGGCTATAAATTATCAGCCGTGTGGTCCCGGCATAGAATAGGCCACCCCTTCCTTTCCCGTGAGTGTCGTAAAAGACAACTAAGGGACCTTAAAGGTCGAGGGATAGACAGCAGCGTCCCTCTTAAAACATCTCTAAAGCCTAACTGCGGCTGCCAATCCGCCTGCCAAGCGTGGCTACTACTGGCAACACCCCCCAAGGGGGAAGCATTTGTTCAGCAGTGGATTATTAAAGGCTGATATAATGATGATGACATTAGTTTCGAATATTCTATGCTGTATCTATGAACATAGAAATATTATATAGGTACATTATATATTAGTACATATCTGTCACGCCTGTCTGCCATTATGGTAGGCAGAAACAATTTATTCATTTATTCATTTATTTATTGCTATTACATGTTGTAACAATATTGGTCTTAATTTACTAAAAGTATAGAAACAAACATGAACCCTGAAAGGGCACAGCAATCATATTAATAAATCTTATATAAACTACATAATTAAATTTTTACATTATATATATGTATCGTCGATTAGTATAAAAAAAAAAAAAATGAAACATACATATATTTATCCCGGTCAGAGTACATTATCCCGGTCACGTGGACAAAGTCTCGAGTAAATGTATCCTTGTACAGGTTTCGATGAACCCACCGGTGCACAAGTGCCATCCATGTTCCTGAACTTCATCGGGTCCAGCATAGACTGGGGATACACCACGGAATCCGAGCCGGCAGCTTGTTTGGCCGAGACGGACAGAAAGTGCTACTGGCCTAGAGGAAAAGTAAGTTTATATTGATTATACTTCTTGTTCCATCGACTTAAAAATGAAAGAGATTCTTAATTCGGCTGCTTTTTCACCGCCAATACTAAAAAGCTTTAGTTGTTTTTTTTTTTTCATTTAGTTATGACGTCATTTTTTACTGAAGAAACTTTATAAACGACAAATAAAACGTTTACATAGTTTATCCATAGTGTAGTGCAATGTTTTTGAAAATGTGACTCGCGACCCCCTTGGAGGTCCACAAAGAGGGTCGCGGAAGGTCGTGAAGGTGTACAATAACAGTTACACAAACTGATGTCTGTTTTGGGTATTTTATTATGTATTATTTATTTATTTATTGTATTTAACCGCTACCTAACTTATAAAATAAATAAAAATGTACGGATTTGACATTTGTAATACATATAATAAAATACATGCATGTTTTTATTTAATGCATGAAAATGGAATGATAACCTCACCTATGCTACCGGTATAAGCTGACGGGATACCAGTGATAGATGAGGATGAAGAAAAATCAGTCGGCCCATCATGAAGAATTCAACAAGAATTAAGCAGGATAGTTTCCAGTAAAAACCACGTGGAGGTCGACCTGAAAAAGTATATACACCACAATACTAACGATCTCTTATCTCCCAATACATACAATACTTATTGTTACTACAACTTAATGGTCGAAAACTAGGAGCACCCATTTCTCGACTATTAAGTTCCCTTAGTCGCTTTTACGACACCCACGGAAAAAGAAGGAGTGGCCCATTTTATGTTATGCACAATATCACATAACATTTACTAAACATAAATGAAATTAGCCAGCGAAAGCCGTTAACTTACCAGTTAATTTAATATACTAACGAACTGTTTACTGGCCTTGGTAAATAAACTATTATAATTACAAATTATTTTAAATATCAACTCTAGACATGATTGAGAAATCCTTGCAACTAAATTTACTCGTTTTAGAAATGTCAACCTAGCTCTCGTCATAACGTAAATTAATCGAAACCATATTAATACGTGAAGGCAAAAACTTTGTACACCTTTCTACGAAGATTTTAGTACTTTTACCATTTTAGTACTTTTTTTTTTTATTTTTGTTTATTATTAATTGTTTTTTTATGTGTATTATATGTGAAATTAAACACTAGAGAAATATTTCTTTCTTTCTTTGCACGATTTTCAATTACGCAATCGGATCAATCGGATGAGTATAAAATTTGGCACACTTATATTTTACATAGAGAAGGAGTGCAGAATGCCAAATTTTTTTTAATTGTGCATACAAAATACATTAAATTAAATAAATAAAAAAAAAAACAATACACACACTACCGTGTATTTGGTACACACACGTGTATATACTCTTTTGTTTATTGTTAAAGTGTGTGGTCGAATTGACAATAGATTAATATTATTTGTCTATAGCCTTCCCATCAGATATGTTGAAGCGTAAAGCAATCATATATGGTAAAATAATGTCAAATATGTCTGTCTATAGTCTGACTGAATGTCAAACATAACCATAATAAATTCATTTATTACAATACATGTTATGTTCGAATTTCGACCACTGGCTGACCTCCAGTATAAATATATAAAGCGCCATATTTCCCAATAAACAAAAACAAAATTAATTACGACATTACAGTCTATTTCAATACAGCTTAATAAAGGAGTAAATAGATTTTGTTGAAATAATCTCAGACTCTAAAACAATGATAATTAAATAGTAAGTAAAGATTTAAGATTTACTTTTTTTTCTTTAGTTTTCGTAATACGTGTAATCATCAACCCAAATAAACAAACGAACCCAAAATTGCAATTCGAGTGCTTACTTAACCAGTAGACTAAGTTTTTTTTTGATGGGTGAAAATGGTATGGTAACCCCGCCTGCGCTAACGGGATACGCTGGCGGAGCACCAGTGAAGGGTGATCGATGAGAATGAAAACAGGCCAGTTAGCCCATCATGATGAATTCATCAGGAATTGACCATGATAGTTTCCAGGCGCAACCGCGAGCAGGTCGACCTGGTTGGGTATATTGCTAGCAATGGGATTCTCAGTCTCCATTACTAACAATCCCTTTCCCCCCCAGTAGACTAAGTTAAAATTCGATTCTCGTTGTGAGTGTCTGATTTGAATTACATTTTAGTCTGTAACATATGTAAAGTTTATCGATCACTATTGATTAAAATAATGTTCAAAATCAGTTAAATATATTAACAAAAAAATATAAATTAAATTATAAAATCTTCCTTTTTGAAATCCCTTAAAAATCAGTTATTGTTAAATTTTTCATTTTGTCTTTTTTTTTATACAACTTATAATGGCAGACAAGCTGACGGTCCTCCGAATTGAAAGTGGTAATCGTCGCCTATAGACATGAGCAGTACCATGGACATAACAGAGTATACTGTTTCGTCCATGATACCCACCATGCGTTGCCATTCCTGAGGACTCAGATGTTATTCCTCTGTACCCTGTAAATTCAATTTTATTCAATTAAAGCTAAAAAAACTAAAAAGCTAAACTGACTCAATAAGAGCTATTAACTTACAAATAATAAGTAAATTGTGATTACTAACCCTTCCACAAAGGAGGAAAAGGGATCGTTAGTAACGGAGTCTAATTGACCCATTGCTAGCAATACACCCTATCAAGTCGACCTCCACGCGGTTCAACCTGGAAACCATTGTGGTTAATTCTAGTGGAATTCGTCATGAACGGCTAACTGACCTGCTTTCATGGCCATCTGTCATCCCACACTAGTGTCCCGCCAACGCATACCGATAGCGCAGGCGGAGTTACCTTTACATTATCACCCATTAAAAAAAATCCTTCCTCAAAAAACCGTTGATCTTATCTATTGATGAAGGCGTGAAGTTAAATAGAATTTATTGCATACATGAAATTGCTTTCCACTTGTATAGAGTTCGTCCAAAGAGGCGTATTAAGGTTTATTCAGAATAGGCAAGGGGACAGGCGTTTACAAGCTACAGTAACCATTTACCATAATACATATTATTATATACCTCTTTGCCACCTTTGTGGTATAAAAAAAACTATCTACACACTACATCCCTTGGTAGGTTGGTAGAACCCTTAGATTATGTATATAAATAGAGTGTCCCCATACAAATGCTTCGAGAAAAGCGGGTCAACTTATTCATACAATTTCGCGTGATAAATAATTACGAGTGATACCTTTATAACGTTTATATTTATTTTGTCTTATAATTTCTGCATCTTTTTAATGCGTAAACACTCATTTTATTTAATAAATAATACGTCAAGATACATTATGTGTGTAAATATACAGAACACTGTTAAAAAAAACGAGTCAGCTAATTTGACAATAAGCTGATAAAAAGTTGACTCGTGTTTGAGTCTCAATGCTCTATCTATATAATCTAAGACAGAACCAAATACCAACTGTATCCTTTCATCTCTCATTTGACACAATATCTGATGAATACAATTTCATTTCCAGGTACTGGGTGGTACGTCTGTGATGAATGGAATGATGTACATGCGAGGTTCTCGAAGGGACTACGACAGCTGGGCGGAAGCTGGCAACGAGGGCTGGTCATACGAAGAGGTGCTTCCGTACTTCCTCAAGTCGGAGGACAACAAACAGGTGGAAGAGATGGACAAGGGGTACCACGCGACTGGTGGCCCCCTGACCGTGTCACAGTTTCCGTACCATCCCCCGTTGAGCTCCAGTATCGTGAAGGCTGGTGAAGAATTGGGTGAGTTAGAACTAATACCAGCATTAAACTTCATCAAACAAACAATAACTTCTTTTATATATGCAACTTAGAATGGCAAACAAGCTGACGGCCCTGATGGAAAGTGGTAACCGTCGCCTATAGACATGAGCAGTACCATGGACATAACAGAGTATACTGTTTCGCCCATGGTACCTCCCATGTGTTGCCATTCCTAAGGACTAAGGTGTCCCTCTGTACCCTGCAAATGCACTGCCATATCTCACCCTTCAAACCGAAACACAGCCATGCAAACACAACCGCTTCACGGTAGAAACACGAATGGTACAGAGCTACCCAAGCAAACGACTTTTATACGAAGTCTCCCTCTGGTGATGAGGCACCATTGACAGATGATAGATGAGAATGAAAGCAGGCCAGTTTGCAGATTGTGACGTACCTTCCCAATAGCAAGTAATTACCGCCACCCTTTCTTTCCTGTGGATTCGTAAAAGACGACTAAGAGAGCTTATAATCGAGGGATGGGCAGCAGCGTTCCTCTTAAAACATCACCAAAAGCTAAATTGCGATTGCCAACCCGTTTGCCAAACGTGGCAACTACTGACAAAACCCCTTTATGAGGGAGACTATGTTAAGCAGTGGACAGTTAACAGTTTTGTAACTACCACCCATAAGCAACCAGAGGAATTTTATTAAATTTTTCTATCAATTATAGAGATTGTGGGCAGTATATGGAGAAATCCTATGTCCAGCAGTGGACGGATAATGACTGAAATGATGATGATGATGATGATGATGATAGAAGTTGTTATAGGTCAACTTTGTGTTTCCAGGATATAGAGCTATAGACCTCAACGGCGAACACCACACTGGCTTCGCGATCGCCCAGACCACCAACCGCAACGGGTCCAGGCTGAGCGTCGCCCGCGCCTTCCTGCGACCAGCCAAGCACCGTCCCAACCTGCACATTATGCTAAACGCCACCGTCACCAAGATCCTCATCAATCAGACCAACAGGCAAGCGTACGCCGTCGAGGTCAGGAACAGTTTTGGTGGGACCGAAGTTATTTTTGCTAACAACGAAATTGTTTTAAGGTAAACATATGTTTTTATTTACTTTATTACCGCGGCCAGATTTTACAGCTTATATCTAAATAAAGTATATTTATACCATAAAACATACACCAGTTACAGAAGGCCTACCATGAAACATTTTCCGAAATTTCGGGGACGAACGAAACAGAAATTTAATGTTAAAATTACACAATACGTGCCGTTTAAAATTATTAAAAATGTTAAAATATCGTTCCTCTGCTCTATTGGGATAGGATTTATGATGAACGAAATGTTAAGCTCCATTCACTGGGTCGATTTCGGTACGAACAAAAAGACGAAATTGAGCGCGAAAATTCGGAATTTCATTTCATGGCAGACCACCAGATTCCAAATTTGTATATCAAACAATGTTTTTTTTTTAATATTGATAATCATCATGTCAGCCTTTAACTGTCAACTGCTGAACATAACCTCCGTCTAGAGAGGTTTTGCCAGTAATTGCCACGCTTGGCAAACGGCCAAGACTTTAGAGATGTTTTAAGAGGGACGCTGTTTCCCATCCCTTAATCATCTCTTACGACACCCACGGAAAAGGAAAGGGTGGCCTATTCTATGTCGGAATCACACGGCGATACTGATATTGTGTTCGTGTAAACATTTTAGCACGCAAAATGAATTTAATACGCGTTAATAAAGGTCATAAAATCCAAAAAAAAAGCTCAAGAAGAAAAAGTGCTATTATAAACTAAAACGTAAAACCGTATACATAAAAAATAAAATATTTGATGACCCATGTGACGCATTATAGGCAGGCCTATATTTACGAAACCAATTTTTCTAATTTGACCACGATCAGAATGGATTTTAACCATTGGCAGTGAGCCGTCAACTTATTTGCCTTTCTAAGTGTCACAAAAACCCGAATATTTATTTATTTATTTGATTATTACAGATACTCAAATTGTGTTGAAATTTTAATAAAATCATCATTGGGCATCTTCTTTTCCAGCGCTGGAGCAGTAGCGTCGCCACAAATTCTCCAACTCAGCGGCATCGGTGATCCTGAAGTACTATCCCGGGCTGGAGTCAAGACGATCCACCGTCTGCCGGCCGTTGGTCACAATCTCCACAACCACGTGGCTCACTTCCTCAACTTCCAAGTGAACGATAACAACACAGCTGCCCTCAACTGGGCGACTGCTATGGAATATCTGCTCTTCAGAGACGGACTCATGTCTGGCACTGGTAACTTTAAACAGTCTACCTAATATTATCAATAGATAATTTAAAATATCCACGGTCGTAGGGGATACGATCCCATATCTTTCTTCTGTCCGACTCGAGAGTGTTCCGAATTCGGTTTTAACCTATGTTCTCAATTTCGATACCGTACTTTGCTTACTTCCTGTAATTATTTTTTAGTATACTCGATATTAAGTTCTGGACTATACTAAGTATACTTTTCCTGAAACAAATCTACTTATTATAAATATTGAGAAGAACAATCAAGCAAACTTGAAGAATAACCGAAAACTTTTGTCAATCTTTTACATTTAAATCCAAAATTTTTTATGTGAAAGAGTGATAAACGAGCATGCGATTCACCTGGTAAGTGATCACCTCAGCTCATGGAAACTAACGACACCAGTGGAGTCAATAATGCATTGTCAGCTTTCTGAAAAGATGTACATTCTTTTCTTGAAGATCCCCATGTCGTATTTATTAAAAAATGCCGCTACTGGTAATTTGTTCCACATTTTACGATACGAGTACACGGCAGGAAATGAATCGTGATTCGTAATTAATCGACCGCCGTCGCTTTGTACTTCAAAGAATATTTCATACATTTTCATAAGTCGTTTCATGCTAAACTGTTCCAGAGACTCTTGACTCTTCCCTCAAATATAACACGGTCGACATAATCATTAAGTTTCCCCTGGCATAGTATTATATTACATTCTCTGTGCTCCCGATCCCACTTATTATCCTGTCGAATGAATCTGGACTTATTTTAAACAAATAAGTACAGATACTATTAATTTATGCAGCGTGGGACTAACCATATAGTCGAAGTGGCATTTGCCAGCAAAGCCCCAGCCTGTGTGGGCTCCCATAAGCCTGGCTTGCGGGACTTGCGGTGCCGCTACCAACTGGTGCAATTACCATCATCTAGTCTCCGCTACAGAGTTTGTAATCAGTCCCTTCCGACCAAGTCCGCCCCAGAATTTATGTTACTTTCTTTAATAATAATCAAACCTAAATTCATTCTTAAATTAAACCTAAATTCAAGGATATGGTGGCATCCTTCTGACATGAATTCAGGTTTAATTATTGAATTAGTTTGGGTTGAATTATGTCCAGTCATTAATTTCGATTTTTAAAGGGAATTTTTTAACAAAACTCAATTCAATTAAAAGGACCGTCGAAAACGGCAGTTAACTTGGTATACCTCTAAATAGACTATTTCTAACTTTCAGGCATATCTGAAGTGACAGCTTTTATCAACACGAAGTATGCGAACCCAGCGGAAGACAATCCGGATATTCAACTATTTTTCGGTGGTTTCCTCGCCGACTGCGCGAAAACCGGCATGGTTGGAGAACGATTAGACAACGGCTCCAGGACAATACAGATAATACCTACCGTGCTGCATCCTAAAAGCAGGGGCAGACTGGAGATAGCGTCTGCTAATCCGTTCGATTATCCCAAAATATACGCTAAGTATGTTTCACAATTATTGCCATCATGTACCTTACTTATCTACGTACCTTTTTTGTTATTATCTTTATATCAGAATTGTTAAATTAAGATTTACCAGTAGTTACTACGCTTGGCAGGCGAATTGGCAGTAAGGCTTTGAAGATATTTTAAGAAGTCCCATCCCTCAACTTTCCTTAGTCGCCTTTTACAACACCCACGAGAAAAGAAGGAGTGGCGTGTTCTATGCCGGAATCACACGGCAATTTATGTAGTAGAATGTAGTAATATAAATATAGAATAATCTCCAAAAACTGGTTACGATGATTAATGCACCGATTAAAATTAAACTATAGTTACTTTCACAATCACAGTCTTTTTTTTTCTAACAACTTAGAATGGCAAACAAGCTGACGGCCCACCTGATGGAAAGTGGTAACCGTCGCCTATAGACATGAGCAGTACCATGCACATAACAGAGTACACTGTTTCGCCCATGATACCCCCCATGCGTTGCCATTCCTGAGGACTCGGATGTTATTCTTCTGAACCCAGTAAATTCAAGCCATATCCCACACTTCAAACCGAAACACAGTCATCCAAACACAACTGCTTCACGGCAGAAACACGAATGGGACAGAGGTGCCAAAGCAATCGACTTTGTACAAAGTCGTCATCTTATCTGCAAAATGTCTCAACTTGAAATCGATTGCAACTACATTATGGAAGTTTTAAATATCAAATATTTATATATATGCAAGTTTCTCCTAATTCCAGCTACCTAACTCATGCAGACGACGTGAAAACTCTAATTGAAGGCATCAAATTTGCCATTAAACTCTCTGAAACGAAAGCCTTGAAGCGGTACGGTGTAAAATTGGACAAGACTCCGGTGGCTGGTTGTGAGAAGATCAAATTTGGATGTGACGCGTACTGGGAGTGCGCTGTGAGGATGCAGACTGCTCCAGAGAACCACCAGGCCGGCTCCTGCAAGATGGGACCACGTGGGGATCCAACTGCTGTTGTAGATAATCTACTGCAGGTATTGCAATTTATAAATATGATTCCACCTTTAAAAAAATAGATGACCTACTGTTCCGGTATATTATTTTTTCGAATTCATAAAGAGTTCATCAAGATGATTTCCAGGAGGAACCGCGTGGATGTCGACCTGATGGGCATATTGCTAGCAATGGGACTATTAGATCCTCAATACTAACTATCCCTTTCCCCCTATAGACGATGGTTACCACTTTCTATCAAGTGGACTGTCAGCTTGCTTCATCCATTCCAGTTTGCATAATTTTTAAAATATTTATTTAAGGTACAAGGCGTCGACCGGCTGCGCGTGGCCGATGCGAGTATAATGCCATCAGTGGTTTCTGGCAACACTAACGCGCCCGCCATCATGATTGGCGAACGTGCTGCTGATTTTATAAAGCAGCGTTGGCTGGGATCGACGCTGGTATGATTTGTTCATTTGTTTCTTTCGGTTAAATTTTTGGCAAACTATCCATCAAATAGAAGAAAGGTTTTTGAGTGGGGACCCCATACGAGCAAACGCAATATAGGACGACCCCTATGACGACCTCAAATACATTGCAGAGAGTCAGTGGATGCAGGTGGCTGAAGACCGTTAGTTATGACCGCAGTTAAGCTTTGGAGAAGTTTTAAAAGAGACATTTCTGACCATCCCTCGCCTTTCCTTAGTCGCCTCTTACGACACCCACGAGAAAGGAAGGGGTGGCCTATTCTAAACCAGGGCCAGACGGCACACCAATGTTTTTACTATATAGGAATCTATTAGACTGTGGAAATTAAGAAATAAAACACGGAGACGTATTTTAGCTGTGATCCACGTTTATTGTAACGAGAGAGAGAGAGACAAATTGTTGCCATTATAAAAATATCGAACAACTTAGTGTTGTCAGCCAAAATATTGTGCGGGAATCAAATCCAAAATCGTGCAAAAACAAGTTAGAAACACCGCATATATGATTTCCATTTACTACCCTATTTATAAAAAAATAGATAGATAGATAGTTTATTTGCATTACTTACTTACAGCACACAAATTACAACATACATATACAAAAAGAAAAAAAGCGAAATAACATAAATGATGAAAAAAAAAATACATAAAGCTAAATACAATTTTCGTTTGTAAGTGTGCCATAGCAATACAAAATGGCCACAACTCAGTTTATTGCTTCGCCCTCAAAAGAGCAAAGCACTGATATTCTGGCCAAAGGGATTGAAATAATAATGACCAATAATGATTGAAATTTTTCAACTTTACAGGCGCCATTCCCTCTGGGTGGACACGGTGGCATTTCCAACGTCCTGCAGGCGAGTGACACGCAACCTCAAGCCATATGGCAACGATGGGTGTAAAAAAACAGTACACCGACTCAATATTATTGTAGGCTTCATTAATGTTACATCGTGCAGAAATTTTCCCCGTTTAATTGAACATTTACTTACTGCTTAACAGGAAAATTGAGGAATAAACTAAATTACAATTGTATGTAAAAACTTTGGTATACCTTTTATATGTAGAATTAATTATATTTAGTTATAAATAGGTTGTAAGCGGACGCTGTCATGTATTATAAGTAAGGTACTGCACTTATTTATTGTTCATAAGTAAATTAAGGTCAATAGAGTTATTTATATAGAAAATATCTGTCTATCAACGAATAGATTGTATTGTTTTGGTATTAGACCTATAATCTAGAAATCAGAACAACATTCTAGTAAATTCCAGAAAGTATAAGAAAGGTAAGAAAGGTATTTTCAAGGTGAAATACACATTAGATCATTAATTTAGGTCATTAAATTCAAATACTTGTTTTATAGTTTATAAGTGTAAATGATACGACACGACGAATTTATGAACATTATAATAGAAGGAAGGAGGGAAAGAGGGAGACCGAGACATAGTTACATCAGACAGATCAAGGAAGGAGTGTCGTGTCGTATCAAGAGGTGAAGAGACTCGCTGAAAATCGTAGTGAGCAACAAGAGCTTCACCGACAAGTGCACAGCTCTTAAATAGCATAGACAGATTAAAGTATAAATGAAGAATATCTATAGATATGGGACACCTAGAAACCTACTCGAGGGATTCCACAGGTTTACGATAAGCATTTTAACTATATGTAGGATTTGTTTTCAGTTGTCTTTTAAAAATAAGTCCATACTAACTGAAGGTAAACATTAGGAACCTAAATCTATTGATTTAACTCTAATACTATGCTATTTAAAGTCTTAAAAGAATAGATTTCAAATTATTATAGCTTTAAATTTCTTTCATAATTATAAAGATACCGCTGTTAACTGTCCACTGCTCAACTTAGGCCTCCCACTTGAGTTTTGCCAGTAGTTGCTACACTTGGCAGACGGGTTAGAAACCACAGTTATACTTTGGTAATATTTTAAGAGGGACGCTGCTGGCTATCCTTCGACAATTAAGTTCCTTTAGTCGCCTCTTACGAGACCTACGAGAAAAAAAAGAATGGCCCATTCTATACCGGGACCGCACTGCCAAATCTCTTTGCTTAGAACTAATCAGAGGCATGCTATGTTAATCATTCTGAACCTAAATTTGAAAATTGCTTTCCCTTTGGTATATTGCGTGGCAAATAAATTAATACAGTATACACGTACTCTAAGACAGTTGCATTGTCTAAAACTACCTCTGACTACCCCAGTTACTATGCAACCGTGAGTATACTGTTTTGATAACTTCACCTATGTACTTAAGTCGTGGCCGTAGCTTAGGGAAGGGGACATTGAAGGGCAATGCCCTACCTTAAACTTGGGTCTAGCTACGGCCCTGACTTATCTAGTTTAAAATAATCTTAGCCTCAAAATACCGTTACATTCGATTAGTTATTTCTCGTCTTTTTTATTTGTATATTAGTACAACATATGTATATGTTTATTTTGTACAAATTAGTGTTGTAAGTATGTATAGTTCCCTGTTGTATACTCCATCTAGTGTACATTGTTAATGATACTCTATGGGCCTGCGAAGATGAGGGACGATCCTCAGTGTTTTGGGTTAATTCCAATAATCCCATTGATTAATTTTTTTTATATCACTGAGGTGTCAAACAAGCATACGGCCCACCTGATGGTAAGTGCTTACCGTAGCCTATGAACACCTGCAATACCAGAAGTATTACGCGTGCGTTGCCGACCCTGAAGAAACCACTTTACACCCCTTTTGAAGAACCCCATGCTGTAGTCTCTTGGGAAAAGTCTCATGATGGGGCTCATAAGTGTATTTTATGCCAATGATCGTATGAGAAAAATGAGGATATAATGTTATTTTTGTCACTAGTTCCATTATGTCTCTATAGAGGATTACTAAGTTCGACCCATCTCATACAATTGATTTGGAAACTAAACTACTAATAAATCTTGATAAAATTCCTATAATATCCATTTGTAAGTATATCCTTTCAGATAAAAAAAAAATCCAAATCGGTTTATAAATGACACAGTTATGACAAATATAAAAAAATATAACCAACTCGAGAGCCTGCTACATTTTTTAAGTTGATTTTCATAATACTAACAAATTCATTTAAGTAATTTAATATTCTAAACTAATATTATATTAAAAAAAAAGATGTTTTGTTTATATAGTAACCTCGAAATATACTTAACCGATTTTAATAATTCTTTCCCCTATAAAAAACTGCATTCGGGTTAATTTTGAGGTATCATTTCTCTAAACCCATTTTAGTTTTATAATTTCACGATATTTCTATTTTATAAATTGTAAACACATTTCTTAATCTTTAAAAGTAAATATAAAGCATTTTCCAACACGGTTTACAACTGACGGAATCATGAAGTAACAAACATAAAAAATACAACCGAAATCAAAACCTTCTCCTTTATAAAGTCGGTTAAAAAATAATTAAAAGCAAAGTCAGGCTCGGTAGTCCAATAACAGGACCGTATAGAACAAGTGATATGGGCACGGTAATTTGAACTTTTTGCCTATCAAAATAAGACCTTCGTATTGGATACAACAGAAAATTTGACCACATGGTATTAGTGGTGTAGTAATTTGAACTTATTGCCCGTCAAAATAAGACCTTCGTATTGGATACAATAGGAAATTTTTACGCCAACAAAAGTCCCTTCTCTCCGCAGGCCCTAAATATTGTTTTATTCGCGCAACTTGCCTTAAATAAGAATTGTTAATGGATCTACTATTGTGATTCATACGATTGTATTTTATACTAGGCCATACTGTTTACTAATAATGTTTTCTTTTAATATATTTTTCTATGCGAAATAATTTATTGTTTTTACTTACATTGAGAGAATTTTTAATTTTTTTTTTCCTTTATATTTTGTCCTATGTCGTCCTTAAAAACAGGTGTTAAATAGATAAAAGTGAATGGATGTATAGATAGTGGACTAATAGAGGAAAAGTGGATTGGCTGTGTAAACCCTTCTTTGCATTATTTTTTTTTATTGGTGAAATAAATCAAGGTGATATAATTCATGTTCAAAATCAAGGAAAAATGGTTAAAAAAAATAAATTTGACAGCTGTTTTCTTTTTCTACAATGGACATTATAAAGGTATCCAGACACGATCAACTTGAAGTGAACATATTCTTTTAAATAATTTTGGGCATTCAATGTTATGATGGAATTTTTTTTTTTACAACGCAGGGTCATACTATCATGCGGCTCACCTGATGGTAAGTAACTACCGCCGCCCATGATCACCCACAACACCAACGGCATTGCAGGTGTGCTGCCGGCCTTTTAAAAAGGAATATGCTCTTTTCTTGAAGGTTATGTTGTCGTATCGGTTCGGAAATACTGCTGCTGGAAGTTGATTTCAAAGTGGTTGTGCGTGGAAGAAAATGCCTTGAAAAACGCACGGTGGAGGAGCGCCACTCGTCCAGATGGTTGGGATGAATTTCCACCATTATGCAAAGAAGGGTTAATGGTGATATGTATAACAATTTAAAATTGTGTTTCGCCAAGAAGTAACTAATTGTGGAAAAGCCAGTTAAATTTACAAAATAAAAATACTGAACGGATTTCGATCAAATGTCTGTGAAACAAATCTGTAAGCATATCCTTTCAGATAAAAAAGAATTTTCCAAATTGATTCACAAATGACGGAGTTATGAGGTAGCAAACATAAAAAAATACATTTGAATCGAGAAGCTTTTTCTTTTTTGAAGTCGGTTAAAAAAGTGAGCTCTGATACGATATTCGATGGACTGTACTTGTACATACTGTACTGACCTCAAATAAATGAGAAAAGGCAAGGCAATGATGATGACTTGTCTTATAAAAGATCATTTTTATCTTCACTGACCACAGTATTCCAAGGAGTGGTTCGTACCTTGTGTCGTATGTCGTAATATGTGGAAGAACTACACAGCAATGGATGATTGGTACGGTGCAATCATAGACAAACAGACACACAGACTGTCTATGCAATCGCAACAACGAGACGAGGTAATGGTTACACTAGTATGCGTCTATTGTAAATGTGTGCAAGTGACAGCTCTAAAATTCTATGGAACTGCAGTTGCCAAAAATAGCGAAAATTTTACATATTCCCAGAGGAAGACTTTGTACAATAGTCGATTGCTTGGATACCTCTGTCCCATTCGTGTTTCTACCGTGAAGCAGTTGTTTGCATGGTTGTGTTTCGGTTTAAAGGGTGGGTAATGACAGTGAATTTACTGGGTACAGAGGAATAATATCCGAGTCCAAAGGAATGGCAACACATGGGGGGTATCATGGGCGAAACAGTATACTCTGTTATGTCCATGGCACTGCTCATGTCTATAGGCGACGGTTACCACTTTCCATCAGGTGCGCCGTCAGCTTGTTTGCCATTCTAAGTTGTATAAAAAAATAACACTAAATTTGAATGACAGACAAACGATTAAAAAGGCAACTTTCACATACACACAATACATTCAGCAATCATAAATGTAAGTTGAAATCGTAATAAAAAAAAAAAAAAACAAATACTAATGAAAATAAGTATGATTTATTTTAACTTGCATATTCCGTTTATAAATACTTAACAAGTTCAGTTCATTAATTATTATTATTATTAATAATAACACATCGGAAATGGTGAACATACATAAACACCATTAAAAACACACACAAAAAAAAACCTGACCAAAATTGTTACTACATTAAGTGTATTACTTAAATCATCAGTTCAATTTAACGTCAGTTCTCAATCAACATTAAAATATCACGTAATATAAAATATGTACCAAATGCAAACAAATTAACAAGCTTGATTACTTCTTTTTCAATGTTGTTTCAACATTGTAAATTTCGCCTATAGCTAAAGCCACAGTACAAAATCATTGCATCAAGAGTCGGCACTGTCCTTAAATTGACGACACTCGAAAATGAATCTATGCAACCACCTATCAACAATGTCTATGAAAAATATGGATAAGTATAACAAATATCCTTTACAGTCTAAAATTATCAAATTCAATAGTTGCATAGATTTTAAACAAACTCGTGCCTTGGTAGATATTAGACATTAAGCTCGATTCTGTGAACCATTCTAAGGACCGATACGAACAAAACTTCTTAAAATTTTCACTGTATTATCAAATTGTTTTAAAGATGAGATAGAGGTTAGAGAATGATACCACAGAATCGATTCCTGTAATACTACTATGCTTTGATACCATTGATTTCCCATCGAAAATCTGTTTTAGAATTAAAATAATAGAGGTTTCCTTTACCATAGCACCATAGTCGTAGTTTAAAAACTAGCAGTCTTACCTATATACCTATTTAATTTTTAACAAAAATCCCACATTAACATTTAGAAAAATTAACAATGGGACCCTGTAAATGAGTCTTGATGAAATTGAATTAGACAATAAAAAATGCATACATACAAAACCTCTTCCATTTTTGATATCGGTTATAAACTAGTGAGTAATTAATCAATGACTAGGCAAGTAATCATTGACTAAATATATTACTAAAAAAAATTATATTAAACATATTTATCTATAAACAAAATTCTCTCTAAATTATTTAATATTGTTCAGTTGGTGTAATAATGTTTCATTAATACTGAACTAAATGTTATTTTGCAGAAGTCCATATCACTGGTTAGTTGATTTGAATTACTTTGTTTAAATCCGCTGCCACTATAATAATATTTAATCTTCTAATGTTGGCAGTCGCACGCTTACTAATGATAGCGGAATTAAACAAAATAATCCTTAATTAATCGGCTAATCAATAATGCTTAATTGAAATTTTATATTACCAAAATCCACACATGTTTATAATAAAATTTCACTTTATACGCCTTTTATTTTTAACAAGACTTCATTTATTTAGACATAGATGTTTTAATGTCCTTTTATAGACCTAGCTAGTGCCAGTTTTTTTTTTTTTTTTATTTGTACTAAGATCTTTAATAAGTACAAAAGATGATATAAAACGTCGTATTATACCTACGTAGTTAAACAGCCATATTACTCAAGATAAAAATATTTTAATCACTTCGATTTTCATGTAAACATGGCTGAATAAGTCTATGCTCTTTACCTTCCTAATAACTGATAAAGTTCAAATATTCAAATATAGATCTTACTGAAGTAGGTAATTCGAAATTTAAAAATTTAACAACTAAATAAACTGTATCAAACAAATTCAAATGTAGAATTTTTCACATTATTTTTTATTACAAACATAACAGGATCGACTTACGTGTTTTTTTTGTCGACAATGCTGGACTAGTTTCGAAACAAATCCGGACCCTTAATCATGAGCGGCTTAAATGCGTGATCGATTCTCACTATGTCTCATAGTGATGTGCTAAATAAGCAGTATCGAGCAATAGTATTTAGTTCCGCGAATATGGATACCGACGTCTACTACTTACATTTAAAGACATTTTAAGTTACCTACCCAAAATATATTAAAGATTTAATATTTAATGTGTCAAAATATATAATTTAATATAAAAAAAAAAACATTAATATCAACCAAAAAGTAACCGAAATATATATAAATATATTATACCATTGATGGAAACGACAAACATAGTAAATTCATAAAATTGTCATTATACATACATACATATACCGGTAAAAAAAATACCATAAGCTTTAAAAATAATATGGATACAGATCTTTCCTTTAGATATCCAATTACAGCAGCCTTGCCCAAAGTGGGCGATGACGCCCCCATGTGGGCGAAGCAGCCCTAGAGGAGGTAAGAGACCCAGAAAAAAATGGGGGCATTATGTAGAGGCTCGTTTAGAATTAATGTTTAATCTCCGCTAATAACGCTCACAATAATTTGTTAATTTAATTTGATGTAATAGTGGTTTTTAAGTAGGTGAAAAAATGGAGGAACTAAAAAATAATTTATTCTCAAAGTGGGCAGTAGACAAAATAAGTTTGGGAACCCCTGAATTACAGATTCGCATTCGATAATCCAGCTTATCCAGCACATCACTAGTGTCCGAACACAGGCTTGCGATCGAGTCAAGCCAATACTCACTCGATCATTCACTCCACCTGCGGGCTCATAAATCTACATTTTTAAGGTTGGACCCGGAATGCGTGGGCAGGTCGTCCTTGAGAAGCAGAGTACCGATAGGCGCCACGGCTTCGTCCCGCTCCTTTAGTTTCCTCATTTCATGCCTTAGTTTTTCTATCACAGCGTAATTAGGCTCGTTGTGACGAGCTTTGTCCTGCAAGAGAGTGATCTCTTGCTCCTCCAGTTTTCTCTCTTTACAGCTCTTCATGGAGCGTGAGCCGTACAGACGGAGGAGCGAGCCCCACGAGCGGACGTGGGGGTGCAGCAACTGCAAGTGAAGATAGTTTTAAACTTTAGAAGCCTCACTGGATCCAATACCGAATGAAGGTCCTGTTCTGACGATCCCGGATCTGTAGTAGGGCAAAGCCACTGTCATATAATGCATGCTGTCTATACCAGCAGTATCGTCTGCGACACCTCACCTGCAGTATCATCTGTGACGCCCGCTGTTTGGCTGACTTCTTATTCTTGCACACGACGGTGGCCGAGTGTTTGCCTACGCTCATCGTCATCTCTATTTTCTGGAGTTCCAGCTTCTTCATCTATAACAAATGTTGATCTATGATACAAAATAAAGCCAAAAACGGAGTAAAAAAAAGGAGTAAAAAGGAGTAGTAAACTACAAGTCACTGCTGGGAATTCCCAACATCATTATATCAGCCTCTCCCTCTCCTCTCCCCTTGAGGGGGGGGGGGGGGGTTGCCAGTAGTTACCACGGTTAGCAGGCGAATTTGCAACCGTAGATAGACTTTGGAGATGTTTTAAGTGGGACGCTGCTGTCCATCCCTCGGCCTCCCTTGTTCGCCTCTTACGACACCCAAAGAAATGGAAGGGGGTGACCAATATGTCAATGCCAGGACCACACGACCATTTTCCATACGTGAATTCGACAGGAATTTCCATATACTGACTTTATTGTCCTTTGTTGCCTCGACTCTTCGACATCCTGGAGGTGAAAAATAATGATTCCACAATGGGTCTGTCCGCACATGGAGGATATTTTTTTATTTATTTATTCATTAAAAATAATTATAATATTATAACAGCAAAAGCCAAATCAATGTTATAAATCTAGTGTGCTAACATACAAAGTTACAATAAATGTATTTAACCCGACTCTAGATATTTGTGAGCCGCTTCTAATATATTTGGCAGGCTACTACTAAATATATAAAAATATATAAATAAAAATACTAAAAATATGAACTTACCTCGCTGTGTATATGTCGCTCCCCAGCGCCAAAGTTCCTCTGCAGACACGTGAGCAGTATAGCGTGGGGGGAGGGCTCGCATGTCGCCATACAGAACTCTGGAATCCGGGGGTCCTCGATGCCCACGTCATCAAAAAACTATACACAGAATAGGGCAAATTTATACATCAAGTCCACTCCATCTACCTATTTTATCTTCAGGCCTTAGAAAACCAAAAGACATCCCAACTGTGTTTAGAAATTTATCACATGTGGAATATTCGTGAAATTCTCGTGTAGTTGTGTCGACAGTACGAGTGAGGTGACTGTGTCGACAATACAAGTAAGGTAGCTGTGTCGACAGCGCAAGCAAAGTGGCTGTGTCGACAGCGCGGGTGAGGAGACTGTGTCGACGGCGCGAGTGAAGTGGGTGTGTTGACAGTGTGAGTCAGGTCGCCGTGTCGATGGTGTATTTAATTTTAATGGCTATTAAGAGAATGGTAATCCCGCCTGCGCTATCAATATACGCTAACTAGGCACCAATGAAAGACGATAGATGAGGACGAAGCGAATTTATTGGTCTATCGTGATGTCACCAATCATTCATCACGATAATTTTCAGGAGAAACCGCATGTAGGTCGATCTGTTAAGGCGCATTACTACCAGGAGGCTGATAGACCTTATTACTAACAATCCCTTTCACCCGTCGATGGATGGATGTGTCAATAGTATGAAATTGATGGCAGTGTTGACAATGCGAATGCAGGGGAAAGGTATTATTAGTATGTAATATGGTCTAATACTAATAATTTACCTTTACGTGGTTCACCCAGGAACCATCGTGGTTAATTCTCGTCGAATTCATCATGATAGATCTGCTTTCATTCTCAATTATCATCTCTCACTGGTGCCACGCCAGCCTATATTGATAGCGCAGGCGGGATTACCATTTCATTACATCCATTAAAAAATAAATACACTATCGACACGATGACCTCGCTCGCACTGTCAACACAGCCACCAGTGAGAGGACGCAGTGTCGACAGTGCGAGTGAAATAACCGTGTGAATAGTAGGGGTGCAGTGACAGTGTCAACACTGTGAATGAGGTAGCAGCGTCGACAGTATATGCGTACCGAGAAGTCCCGGTTGTCGGCGGTGGCGGACGGCGGCTCTACGTCGCGCATCTCCGGGATGAGAATCTCGATGGAGGCGCGCGCGGCGGCCGACTTGGCCTGCCGCTTGCTGGAGCCCTGCCCCACGCCGTACTGTATGCCGCCGATGTACACAGTCGCCTGGTACGGCTGCAACGCGTTTTCTGTCACCACCACACGTTCACCAGTTACAGTCACAGCGTTTCATTGCTCAAAGACAGATAATTTCAGTACGAATGTTGCCAAACCTAGTTGTTTAAACTCGTAGACAGGTTGCTTTTGCAGCGCGCGTCGCACGTACTCGTGAAACTCCGACAGGTAGTTACGTCCGTTCATATTCATGATCCAATTACGTTTCGGCTTGCCTACGAATAAAACAATACTAGAATTTTATTATTGTTTAATTGTGTTAAACAGAGAGTAATACAGAATATAATGAATTACACTACGCTTTGATAGTAGCTATGGCCGTGTGGTCCTGGCATAGAATAGGGCATCCCTTCCTATCCCGTGGTTGTCGTAAGAGCCGACTAAGGAAGGGCGAGGGATGGGCAGCAGCGTCCCTCTTAAAACATCTCTAAAGCCTGACTGCGTTCACCAAACTGCCTGCCAAGCGTGGCAACTACTGGCAAAATCTCCAAGGGGGAAGCTTATGTTCAACAGTGGACAATTAACGGCTGATATGATGATGATGATGATGATGAAAGACAATATCTTACCTCCACTGTCCCTCCTACTAGCGACAGATGCAGGAATAGTGATGATCTTGGTCCCCTCAGGCAGAGTGGGATACTGTAACGCCTTACGAGCTTTCGTGTACTTGTGACGATCTGCCCAACTTCTATCGAACACACAAACACTGACATTGTAAAAACTACAATTAATGACAATTTATGACTGACAGTACTAAAATTTTGTGATCCCTTCTTACTGATTTCATCCATACACAAATTTAATAGTGAAAAAGATGAGCATGCAAAAAAACAACAATTACTTGAAATGCATAACGTTGACAGTTTTAAACTTGAACAGTGTCTTGCAGTAGTCGTTGAGCTGCTCGGGCGTGATGTGCTGCATCTTCCAGCTGCTGCCGACGGTCTCGACCCGCGGCGGCGGCATAACCACGCCGCCTGGCAGCACCACTGGCCGCCGGCTAACAGCCGGGCAGCCTGCCGCCTGCGTCTCGCAGCCAGCTTGTTCGTTCGATTTATTCGGATTTTGTTGCTCGTTCGTTCGGTCGTTAGTAGCTTGTACGTTTGCTTCAGTCTCATCATGGGGTTGAACCGATTCTTTGTTAGTACAATTTTCATTTCTTTCTTTAACTTCATCATCAATTACCTCTTGCTTGTTGAGATTACATTCAGGTTGATTTGTTTGGTCTATTCCATTTGCGCTTTGATGACAATATGGGCATTCACTTTCTTGTGGTTCGTTTTTTAAACCATCATTTTTAACAACAGATTTAGTTTCATCATTACTTTGTTTATTAACCGATATTTGATTTCTAATCTGTTCATCAATTTGTCTATCGATTTCCATCTGTTTATCTTCTTCTATTAATGCTCTTTTATATGCGAAACAGGGTATTGAAGTAATTGGAATGTCATGTCTCTAAAAGAATATTATATTAAATAAGATTTTTTTTTTTATAGAACTTAGAATGGCAAACAACAGGCCCACCTGATGGAAAGTGGTAACCGTCGCCTATAGACATGAGCAGTACCATGGACATAACAGAGTATACTGTTTCGCCCATGATACCCCCCATGCGTTGCCATTCCTGAGGACTCAGGTGTTATTCCTCTGTACCCAGTAAATTCACGCCACAATTATATACACAACCATCTTGAATAATTGTTATTCATCAGTTACAACAACAACAATAGTAGTAACAACAAATTGAGACATATATATTAATACAACATATTATACCAGAGGGAGACTTTGTACAAAAGTCGATTGCTTTGGTACCTCTGTTCCATTCGTGTTTCAACCGTAAAGCAGTTGTGTTTGCATGGCTGTGTTTCGGTTTGAAGGGTGAGATATGGCGTGAATTTATAGGGTACGGAGGAATAAGAGTCTCAGGAATGACAACGCATGGGGGGTATCATGGGCGAAACAGTATACTCTGTTATGACCATGGTACTGCTCATGTCTATAGGCGACGGTTACCACTTTCCATCAGGTGGGCCGTCAGCTTGTTTGCCATTCTAAGTTATATAAAATATATATATATGCATAAATACAACACAAGTATTACAAGTGATATTTTACATTCTAAACTTGAACATGTCACATGCTCTTTAAAATAAAAACCTGTGATCATGGAACACACACTTTAAACTTAATATAAGAATATGAGAACTTGCCAAAACTTGGTTACATACACGCAGTAAGAAGTGAAACAATTAGTAACTTTGTGAGTAAAGGAAAAGCCACAAAAGTTACCCTAGAGTTCCCTTTTCCGAGGCTGTAGGGCTTGGAGAGTGTGCAGACCCTGGTGGTGCGGTGCATGTAGATCGGCATCCCGCTGTAGTGGCGCACCATCATCCAGTCCAGTGGCAACACCTCGAACTGGTTCACGCCTTTGTCTGAAATTAGTACGTTCCGCACTGACACTAGACATATTACGGAAATGAATCTGCCACCATCGTGAGCAGACGTAGGAAGCAGCGAGAGCGGCGATAGTACGACGTGAGATATTGAAATGTTACGCCTCTGTTAGCGGTACCTTCAAGGACTATTTTCTGCCTCGTGATGTACGTCTTTTCCTTAGGTTTGGGCGGTACCCTGAAGTTCTCTGGCAGGTTTTCTTCTAGCATCTTCTCAATCTCCTCATCTGGCAGTCCCCCCAATTTGCCTATGAGTAAAAAAGACAATATAGTTTGATCATTGAATAAACATATTTAAATTTTACAACATATGTAATCAATTTGATGGAAAAAAAAAAGTTATGTACTTTTTTGTTGAATGAATGAATGAAAAAAAAAAGTACATAATATTGTGCCAAGTTGTAACAAACTTAAAGTATCAACTAAAAACTCTTCGAGTCTATGATCAATAACTATCTTGTATATAAGCTTTCATAACAGAAATATTAAAATAATATAATTCTATACCATCAGAATTGTCGGAGTCCTCATTGTTGCTATCCTCATCACTTGACTTGAGCTCGTCCAGCACCTTGAACTCCTTCAGCCTTTCCAACTCTTCAGGATTAACATAATCCCTGTATTTATCAGTGGCCACTGCAGGTTCTGCATCAGTTGTCTCTGTCACATTTTTAGACAAGTCTGTTTCTATTTCACTGTCTGGTTCAATTTTAATTTTTTGTTTCTTAACTGGTGGACTTTCCATATATTTTTCTTCACTCATCTTGTCCTACCTACCTAAAAATATATAATCTTTCGGTCTTACTAGATAGCATGATCAAACAACTTCTAAATTTTAAACATACACAAGAACAATATATGGTCAATGGGCAGCATTGCTAATTTTAAAAACTACTCATATCCCATCAAATGACTAAGAATTGAGAAAAAGAAATTGAGTGTGACTGTCATTTTGATGTCCTATTCTAGTATGACATATATGTTTCTATATAACCCATAAAAAGATGTAAATTTCTAAACATATAATTTACAAAAACATATATAAATTTTATAATAACCATTACTGTTATTCCAGTTATGAATATTTTTTAGAGAATTACAATATTTCCATACAGAGAACCAATACCTTGATGTCTAAACAAATTCACTTTTTAGTACAAAACACCAATTCTATTATAAATATGTATTTAACCACTATTAATATATAAAATATAAAATATAAGGATGGTATTAGAGATACAAGTGATTACTTAAGAGCTCAGACATATAATGCTTATATATTATATATACAGGATAATATATAGACCATGTTATATACAAGAAAGTTCAATTATGTAGTGCGAGGACTGTCATTTTCGGATGAGACGTTTTATTGGATTTTATTATTTATAAACCAGATTTTTTACTTATATTTTTATATAAGTAATTATTGTAATAAATCCATACTAATATGGAATAGAACTAAAAAAAGATTGAATTAAATACAGTAGAATAACTATACCATCTGGGGCCTGTGGCAAATTCATCGGATAGAACTTTCCCATTATAAAAATTAAAAAAGAAACAATAGATTTTTAATAAATAGAATAGCAAAGTCGATATTCTTCATCTTTATTTGTATAATTTGTATATATTTTCGACTTTCATTTACAATTCAATATTTTATACTAATTTCTATAATAAATTCTTCTGTGTTCACAACCTCTAAGACCTGGAGCCCCTCAGACCAGGACACATGACATTTTGTCCACTCTATAGCTCTATTATGTCACTGCATAAATATTATTATAACATATAAGTCCAAATATGACAAAGTAAATAACAAAACTGCCCCAGCGACTGTTGATACCAGATGATTATACCCTCACACCAGTAGAAGTAGTACAAATATACATGTAATAGTAATAAAACAAGAACAACTGAAGAGTGTGTTTAATATACTTTATATTTTATATCACAGTAGTTATAACTAGAATAAAGTTCGCTATATTTTTAATCAAGTTAATAAATGGAAAGTGTCTTAAAACTTGAATAGTTCTCAAATCTAAACCTATATCGAAATGCGTTGAAAGATAGTCCACAAATAGCGATGGTACTAAAATTCCAACGTGCAACAACAATTGGATTTTATCCATCACTCGCTGTAGACTCTCAGTACATTCCGCCGTATTGCTGATCAGTAATGTACACCCACGAGGATTATTGCGGTAGTGCAATAGACTATACCTCGTGCAATTGAATTACAGAAGCAAATCTCTTGCACAACTGCTGTAAAACAACCGTAGAGAAGTTATTGCTGAAGTGTTGAAGATACTGCAAATTTGATATCTGCGAAAATAACTCGTAATTTTTACTTGAGAAAGTCTAAATTTCTCTAAGTTAAATCGTTATGTTAAAATAAATTATAAATTAATACAAATTTATATTACGAGAAATTTTGTACGAATTTACTTACACGTCTTATAGCATTCTGTAAATTAGGATTTCAGACATGATTCCCGATTTATTTAAAAAATGTAATAAAAAAAAGATTACCTATTTTTGTGAAAATAATTATTTATAGCAGATATAATAAAAAAAAATGCATTGTGGACATAGGCAAAAATAAAATGACGTTTTTAATTATTAATTAAATATGTTTTAAGGCTCTGGATACAAGTCCCAAAAATATAACCTAAAAAAAAAAATACCTATCACAATTGCCAGATACAAATTTAGGATTTTTACCAGTTACAAAGTTGAATCGTTGTTTTCATTACGTTTAGCCACAAAGTCACTAACATAAAACGATAGGACAAGCCATTCCTTTTGTTTTTACTTTTAGCTTATCTTACCCTCTCCATCTATTATCCCTGTTAAATTTCATATTTAATACTATCTCTACAATTATTTACATATTGTGTACATTTATTTATATTTCCAAATGTATTCGGAAGCATTAATAGAGAATAATAGTAATATGTCTACTGTTGAATAAACTGTACTGTTGATCAAACAATAATTCCATTCGTATTTTGTCTCATAATTAACTACATTTATAAACCTTTATACGGTTTAGACGCACCAACAATGTCCAAAAAAAATTACCCAGACTTTTTCCAAGTCATCTTACTTTTCTTTAAAAATTTGTCCATGAATTTAATTTCACCCAAACTTGCAAAAAAATAGCTAATCTACCAATGCTGCTACCTATATTTATAGTATACCAATAGTAGTATACCTACTACTTTATAATCAAAGTTACAAATCCACATATCCTACACTAACATTAACGATGTGACAAACTTTCACAGATTCCGTAACTCAAATTTCTATAAATGCAACAATGTTACATTATCCAATTTTTTTTTTTTTTTTTTACTTTTTATACGCAACTCTTTAAATATATTTTATTTCTCACTATATTCTACTAATTTTACAACCAGAGTAACACAGATAGCCCATAATCTATAACTTTATTGTCTGGTGTCATAAAATTACAGAAATATGAAGAATGAGCGAGCATCTTAAATGCGAATTATAGATTTCTCTTACAGTATCCCTACCAAAGACATACAAACAAACATCGTTCATTACAACGTTGCCAGATTGGATATTTTGTACACAATGGTAGGAGAAAAAAATTCTGATACAAAATTTAGGAAGAATAAATTTCTTATAGAAATATTTACAGAAAAGTGAATTGGACTTGGAATAATTTGGGCAATTTTTTAAAGACAGTACAGTATAGACAGTATTTATACTGTCATCGTGAACGATGATGACAATATAAATACAATAAAATATACCAATAAAAGTAGCAAAACAGACGGTATAGAAGTTAAGTGAGGAGGACGGCCAAGTTTACGGTTTACTTTTTTTAAACGCTCTTTATGATTTGAAGAAAAATATTGACATTTGACATATTGACAAAACTAAAACATTGCATCTAGTAACCCATGCTCACTAATCTATGGAATGATCACCATTGACAGATTGGGTGATTTTTTTTTCCCAATTTATAGTAAAAAAATATCTAGACTCAAAATTTTTGATAATGTATTTCTTGGAGAAAAGTTAAATAGGTGTAAAGAAATTTAAATTATTTTGTTGGACAGTTTTGGCAATTGTAAAGAATTATTACTTTTTTTCATCCTTCACTTACCAGTAGGCAGAATTTTTATCGACAAGTTACATTATTGTTGTTGCTATTCAAATTTCATTGCAATTTTAAATGCAAATAATAGAAACAAAATCACAAAACTCTAAGTTTATGTCCTTTTCCATGTATTTCAATGAAACACTACAAGCAATAGTTACATAATCGCCCTGCAGATGGCAAAACGTAGTAAAAAATAAAATACAACTTTGTAATAATACACTAGAGGACAAAATTAGGGATAAAAAAATGCCAAATTTTTTGAGGTTTTTTAAGTAGCTGTATTTCCTTTAAAAATTATCGTATTAGAATTTAAAAAAAAGGATTTTAAAGCTCAAACTTTCTAGTTTTGAGATCTTATGATGAAATTTTTTTAAGTAACGTGTTCTGCCTTATGAATACTGAAAAAAAATTTTTTTTGACATAAACCCCACAAAGTTTCGATTCAATCCATTGAGCCGTTTTTTTGTTTTATTCGATCGAATTTTTGAAAGGTTAAAGGATCACGACTTTAAATGGTCATAATCTTTAACAAAATGCAAAAAAAAGTTTTTTCAGTCTTTTTATGCATTTTTATTGACACATTTTTAACGACTTCTTTTCAAGGGAAATACAGCTACTTGAAAAATCTCAAAAAATTTGGCATTTTTTTAACCCTTAATTTTTTCCTCTAGTGTATAAAAGTTCTTGAAATCGTATCGATTTGAAGGAATTTTTTTTTAATAAAGGTAAAAATCGTAATTGGCATTTGGCAACCCTGGTATTGATAATCTATATAGTCAACCGAACCCATAATCTATATAGTCTGCCAATAGTTTTTTCATTCTTACTTAGATATATGGATTAGAGTCAAACCTTTTCTTTTATAAAATAACTTATCCGTTATATTAGTAACTTATAATACCTACTCTTTGCAAAAAATATTTCTTTATAATTTAAATATTGATTTAGATTAATCGCCGTCAGTACTTTTACGTTTTCTTTGTCTTCCAAAAAATAGGTAATATTTCAGTTTATTACAGTGACCTTTATTTCACAAGCAATTTCTTAACACGAAATCACTAGGACTACAAAGAAATTAAAAAATTAAAAACCATACATGAAAGGAAATAACGTCTCAAGTAAGTAACCTTTTAAATTTATTTACTCGTGAAATGGAAACCGTTGCAGTAGTATTAACCAGCTCAAGGATAGTGGTGGTAGTAACGGTGGACCGTTTCGCGAGTAAAAATTATTATTTTCGCAGACACATAATTTGCAGTATCGCCATCGCTTCAGCAGTACACCAGGGCTGTCTGGCGGCGGTATTGCAACAGGCTAGCCTCTGTACTATTATACCAGAGATAGTCTATCGCAATACTGCAATAATCCTCGCAACTATACATTGCTGGTCAGCAACGCGACGAAACATACTGACAGTCTACAGCGAGTGATGGATAAAATCCAACTGTTGTTGCACATTGGAATTTTAGTACCATCGCTATTTGTGGGCTATCTTTCAACAATATTCTTTAGTTTAGACCGACGAGTTTGTGCAAACATATTAGTAACATAAATTTTATTGCAACTTCGTAAAACATCACTACAGTTCATATCACTTCTTCATAATGTAGATAAATGTGGTCGAACATTACTTTTATTAAATATTTAACTTAATTATTTCACTCATTTTAACTTATCACTGTCAAATGGATAAATATATTTTACTGGGGAACATGGTGGAATGTGGTAAAAATAAAATCTTATACAATAAATTTTAGGTGATATACGTATACACAAATGTAATCATGATTCAATGTAACTGTTGTAGTCAACTAGTTTAATTAATAATTCAATTAACAGCATAGCCTTTTACTAAATGGTGCGTTCCAAACTAGCGGTTCGAAAGATATTCAGCTATTCGCACAATGTTAACACAAAAAAAGAAATGGTACAAAACTCACATTAACAAATAATATTTTTATTATTTACATACATACTTTATTATCAGGGATGTGTATTATTTCAATAACTTGTATTTAAAATTATTGTAGTAGAAAAATGTTTTAGCAAATAAATATTCAATTCATTTCAATACAAATACGTATTTGATATTTGTATTTCAATTATTTTCTATAAATGTAATTGTTAATTCATATTTCAAATGTTTAACATTGGAGTTTTAATATTATTTTATATACTTGTGGCCTCAAAATAGATTTTAATATATTTATATTGTCTTTAAATGTATTTACATTTAGAGATCTTATTAATGGATACATATTGCAGAATATAATGCTTGATGGCTTTCATAGCAAAATGACATATTAATGAAAGGAATTTTTTCTTTTACAATTTTTTTTTTATACCACTGAGGTGGCAAACAAACATACCACTCACCTGATGATAAGTGGTAAAGGTAGCCTATGATGAACACCAGCAATATCAGGACCACGCGCGCTTTGCCGATCCTGAAGAAACCTCTTTATCCCCCTTTTGAAGAACCCCATTCTGTAATTTTTTGAAAAAACCTCAGCAGAGAGTTCATTCCATAACCTGAGTGTTCGTGGGAGAAAATATCTCTAAATGCATGTCCGCGTAGCACGCGACCATATAGGGTATAAGCGTAAACTCCCTGTCGATGGCGAGCTGTACGATGGTAGAAAATGGCCGTGGGCATCATATTGAACAATTCCTCTGAGCACAATTCGTTGTACAAGCGGTAGAACATGCAAAGTGAGGCAAAAATCTCACTCAAGACTCAAGGGTTCGATACAGCTTGTAAGCCTGGGATCATCGACAATTCTCATCGCTCGTCGTTACACTGAGTCAAAGAGTTCAAGCTGGTATCTCGGTGCTCCTGCCCATAAGTGACAGCAGTACTCCATATGGGGCCGGATTTGCGATTTGTAGAGCAATAATCGCTAATCCGGCGTAAAGTAATGCTTCGCTTTATTAATCAAACCGAGTTTTTTTAGATACCAGCTTCACCTTATCTACAAGATGGCCACGAAACTATACGTCACTAAAAATGTTGACACTATGGAACCCAATGATGTTAAAGATCTCAAGGGGCGTGCTCTAAATTTGTAGAGCTCTAGCAAGTGCTTTTTAGCGGTGAACGCGCAAGCTTGATTTAATTTAGCAAGCAGGATTAAACTGAACTATGTTTTGTTGCCCCCAGAGAACCTAGCTAACGTTCTCTCGATTTCAGACACAAGCTGTTCACGATTGTCCTCCACGATGGAACGAGGGACATTGGTACGACCCATATAATAGGCATCCCCAGTGCTGTCATCCGCATAAAAATGAATGTCACCTAAGGATAACATATCATTAATATGCAGCAGAAACAGCGTTGAGGACAGCACAGAGCCCTGTGGGACGCCAGCGTTAATATCCTTGCTATCGGAGCAGCAACAATCTACAACAGTTTTTATGCATCTGCCGGAAAAGCTGGCAATCCATTTACACAGGTTGTCGAGAAATCTATAATAGGGCAATTTCGATAGAAGACCCCAATGCCAGACCCGCTCAAATGCCTTTGCAATATCAAGACCAACAGCGACCGCCTCACCTTGACTCTCAATAGCCGTTGCTCATCGGTGCGTGAGATATATTAAGAGGTCACCAGTTGAACGACTATGGCGAAAGCCGTATTGGTGATCACTCGACAAATCGTGATCGTATAGGTATCCTAACAGCTGAACGTTAACTATACGCTTCATCACTTTAGAGAGAAGGGAAGCGATCGCAATCGGCCTGCAATTTGAAGGATCCCCTTATTCCCTTAAGAGGCTTAAGGAATTTATCGCCCTTTTTATGTACAGCATGTACAAGGGTAGTCTTCCATGTAGAAGGAAATAAACCTGAGGAGTATGTGGAGAGGCCCATTAATACAGGACATAGTTTCAGAGCACACCGTTTTAGGACCACTGCCGGAATACCATCTGGCTCGATTTTTTTTTAATGGATGATAATGGAATAGTATCCCCGCTTGCGCTAACTGTATAAGCTGGCGAGGCACCAGTAAGGGATGATAGGTCCTAATGAAAAGGCAGATCAATTAGCCTGTGATGAATACTCCTGGAATTTAGCACGATGGTTTCTAGTGTACTAACACTGCGACTACCCCCATTGCTAGCAATATACCCTGTCAGGTCGACCTCTCTGCGATCCCCCCCTGGAAACCATCACCATAAGCTAACTGACCTGTCTTTTCATTCTCACTTATCATTCCACACTGTTTCTCCGCCGCTGGTGTACCATTAGCGAATGCAGGATTACCATTCAATTATCATCCATGAAAAAAATACCTAACTGTATTTTATATGTCGTTTAATTAAAGCCAAGCAAATATTTTGCATATTAGACTTTACAGCTATCATTCGGACTGCTATTTGAACGACACCGTTTAGTAAAAACACTGGGCTATTAATTGAATAACTATATAAACTAGCTGTGACACATTCATGATAAACTGGTCGACACACCTGATATACATATATCTGCGAGGCGGCCAAACTGATCAGGTGAATTATAAGTCTTAAACAAAAATAAAAAATTCCGGTATTTTTGTTTATTTTATACTAATTTAGCACTTTATATAAAAAAAAAAGAAAACTACAGTTGTTATAAAAACATAAAAAAAAAATTGGATAAATATTTTTTACGTGTGTTATTGTTATGTATAAATAACTATGTTATTAAGGTCTAGTATTTTAGGTAGGGTTGCCATCATATCACATTTCATCAGAACTTATTTTCATATATGTAGATTTATGGGGACAGATTAATGCTCAACAGTATAATAACGTATTGTGTGGTATTACATTAGGATCAGAAGGGACTTGAAAGTTAAATATTGTAAATAAATATCTGTTTTGTTCCATTTTTTAGTAGTTTGGTAGTTTTTCTCACTGAAATATCCTGTATTTTGGTAGTTTATTCACTATCGGAAATCTAGGTATATAGGTAACTACAAAAACTGTGTACCTTCTCAATTGATCAGTTCTACAAACTTATACAGGGTGGAAAGGACAGGTTGGCCGAAACGAAGACAGCTGATTCAGATGAATGGTCTGAATCAAATGGTAGATTATTTCCCCACCGGAAATGTACCACAGCCATATTCTTCGATTCTTAGTTTTCACACCGCGCAATGTATTTGAAATTTTTCGATCCACACGACGCGTGACGACATTGGTATCGCCCGATCAATGGCACTTCTTCGTGGGTAGTTTCCGTACACTTCTGTACCTTAGACAGCTGAATCCACGCGTCGCGGTTGGACTTTAATACATATTTTGCTGTTACTAATACTGTTTTCTGGTATTTCATAGTATTTCACTATAAAATATTATTATTATTTCTTTATGTTATGACATAATATCGTAGATTCCTTTTTTCATTTAAAATCATATAAATATTAAATGAAAAAAAAATCCAGGAAAATGTGATATTTTCCGGAAAGAATTTTCACTGATTTTCAGTTTAGAAAATAGTCTGAATTCAGTCTTTTAGTTTTAGCCAACTTGTCTCTTACACCCTGTATAATATACATGTTCAGTAACAATGAAATTGTAACTAGACAAAGTGTATAGATGGGAGATATTTAAGAAAAAAAAATATGTGAAGGGATAATAATGACAGCACCAGAAGCCAAAGTAATAAATTTTAGAACTTTTGTCTGTCTGTTTGTTAGTAAGTTTGCACTGGCATCACACAAACTGCTGCACGAAATTGGATGCGATTTTCACACTTGTAATTATGAAGAACTAACTTAAAATCTGTTGTATGTTTTATATTGGTCCTAATTCATTAGTTTTCCCACTTTCAAAATCTTCGCGTACGAAGTAGCACGTAAAAAGCTAGTCATATGTAAAAATGAAATTCCGTAATTTATTTATTTATATTGTTTAATATATATAGTCCAATATCTCTAAAATGCCAATAAAAAAATATTTCAAATTAATTATGTAAGATTATTTTTTTTTTTTTATTTTAATATATATTTGGCTTTATAATTGTACTTCAACAGTGTCTAAATTCTTTTATTGTTTTTTTTTTTTCTTTTTTAATCTTAAGCTTTTCACTGTCTTTAAAAAGGTGGCGATTCTTAATTCATTCGTAATTTTTATATATATTTTTTTTGTTATTCTTATCGTGTGTTCTACATAAGTTGCCCTGCCAGCGTATACCGATAGCGCAGGCAGGTTTACCATTTCATCTTTACCCATAAAAAAAAACCTACACAAGTTGTAGCTAAGCTATAGAACTCTTGCATAATTAAGATAAAGTATAGAATACCTTATTTATTTATCTATCAAGCTATTCAGACAATTTATGTGAGTTTATTAAATCATATGGGTTGTTTATTTAAAACTATCAAGCCATTTGGTATGTTTATTTAAATCTGTCAAGTCGTTTGGGCTATACATTACACCAAAGATCCACACACGTCCACATTATATGCGCTCAAAAACAAATGACTTATGTAAACTTTTAAGTTTACTAATATTTTTTAGGTAGGTAAAATAAGATGAGCGAAGAAAGAGATATGGAAATGCCACCAGCTAAGAAGCAAAAATTTAAAATTGAACAAGACAGTGAGACAGAAATAGACTTCTCTAAAGACGTGACAGAGACTGGTGGTGCGGAATTTGCAATGGCTAATGATAAATACAGTAATTATGTTAACCCTGAAGAGTTGGAGAGGCTGAAGGAGTTCAAGGTGCTGGACGAGGTCAAGTCAAATGATGAGGATAGCAACGACGAGGACTCTGATAGTTCTGATGGTATAGAATTTTTTTTACTACATTATGAGTTTACATTTGGTCTCACATTAGCTGGTGGAATAGGATAGCTAGGCCTAAGATGAAGGATGCCTGCTCAGAAAATAACTACTGACAATGGCCCTGAAGAATCTAAGATTAATACTATAAGCTTGGTACAATTTTCCATAATATGTATAAGGTTTCATTCAATACATTGATTAACTATGTTGCATAACTTCAAAATATTTATTCAATAAATATTTTTTTATATTTCTTGTGTGTTGGAAGGAATTGGCTTACAAGGCACAGGTTACCATAATTTGTAAGCAAAGTCAAAAAATATGTAACAGTGCAACCCTGTATTTGTTAATAAAGTTTTATTATTATTATTAATAAATAAACTGTCATTTATTAAATTATTCATATAGGTAAATCCGACGGGCTGCCAGAGGAGGAGATAGAGAAGATGCTAGAAGAAAACCTGCCAGAGAACTTCAAAGCAGCGCCCAAACCTAAGGAAAAGCCGTACATCACGAGACAGAAAATAGTCCTTGAAGGTACCGCTAACAGAGGCGTAACATTTCAATATCTCACGTCGTACTATCGCCGCTCTCGCTGCTTCCTACGTCTGCTCACGATGGTGGCAGATTCATTTCCGTAATATGTGTAGTGTCAGTGCGGAACGTACTAATTTCAGACAAAGGCGTGAACCAGTTCGAGGTGTTGCCGCTGGACTGGATGATGGTGCGCCACTACAGCGGGATGCCGATCTACATGCACCGCACCACCAGGGTCTGCACACTCTCCAAGCCCTACAGCCTCGGGAAGGGAAACACCAGGGTAACTCGGCTTCTTGTCAAATTATCAAAAAAAATTTTTACAATACCAATTTTTCCTGATTACCGTGAAGTCAATGGATGGGAACCGTTGGGAACAATTCATGTAATCATTTCCTATATATTATTATAGGTATATTTTGAATCATAAAAGACAATTTTACAAATTTAAGTGAGAAGCCATCTACACGCACCAAAATCGCATGCTTTTAATTTTAAAGATACAAACAAGAATTGGTTTGTGACAACCCTAATTATTTATCACATTTGTTTAAATCACACTGTCGTATGTAAAAATCACTGTTATGTCCTGATCATTACAATAACCAATTTTGTTCCAGAGACACGATATTCCAATCAGCGCAATACCTTGTCTAGCATACAGGAAAGCGTTAGAAGAAGAGGAAAAACAGAAGGAAATCGACAGGAGAATAGAGGAACAAATTAAAAACGGTACATGGCTCAACAATGAGACCAATGACAATGCTAAAGTTAATTCTGCAAGAAATAGTTTAAAAGAAAATTTAGTAAATACACAACAAACCAAATGTCCGTATAGTCATCAAAATTCAGATAAAATAAATCAAACAAATGAATCCAATGTAGATAATGATAAAGTCAAAGAAAATAATGAAAATTGTGCTAACGAGGAATCGGTACAACCTCACGGTGAAATTGAAGCAAAAACGCAAACCACTGACGACCGAACAAGCGAGCAACAAAACGAACAAGCTGGCCGCGAGACGCAGGCGGCAGGCTGCCCGGCCGTGAACCGGCGGCCGGTGGTGCTGCCGGGCGGCGTGGTGATGCCACCGCCGCGGGTCGAGACCGTCAGCACCAGCTGGAAGACGCAGCATCTTACGCACGAGCAGCTCAACGACTACTGCAAGACGCTGTTCAAGTTTAAGACTGTCAACATTATGCATTTCAAGTAAGTGTCATTCATAAATTTTGCATGCCCATCACAGATAGAAGTACATCATATCTTACTGATATATATTTTTACTTCACTTTGTACCCAACAGAAGTTGGGCAGACCGACGGAAGTACACAAAGGCCCGCAAGACGCTGCAATACCCGACTCTGCCTGAAGGCACCAAGGTCATCACTATACCCGCGCAGCCTGCTAATGGACAAGAAAATAGAGGTATGTTGAGATTGGTGCATACCAGCGATGATGCTGACATCAGTAACAGACAGTTGTAAATAAAACATACCCCATATTTTTTTTTTATACAACTTAGAATGGCAAACATGCTGACGGCCCACCTGATGGAAAGTGGTAACCGTCGCCTATAAACATGAGGAGTACCATGGACATAACAGAGTATACTGTTTCGCCCATGATACCTCCCATGCGTTGCCATTCCTGAGGACGCAGATGTTATTCTTCTGTACCCAGTATTATGTAAACTATACTCCTTATGGTTTGGTCATATGGTCCAATCCGCTTCTGGCTAGCTAAAATGTGCACTAGGAATGTGTCTTGTTAATGGCTGGAAATATTTTGGCTTGGACATAATTTTAGAGTTACTGTTCGACATCACCTTTTGTCTTGTCCTTCGTTGTTCTAATAAAACTACACAATTCTCTCCGAATATATTTTTTCTTTCTAATAATCACATTCTATATTCGACGATTTACGACAGAATGGATGTGAGGTTGAAGTTTCTCTTAGCATAACATTAATCCATATCATACACCATGCAGGCAAGCCGAACCGCGATTGGGTGATGAATATGAACGGACGCAGCTATCTGTCAGAGTTCCATGAGTATGTGTGGCGCGCGCTGCAGAAACAACCCGTCTACGAGTTCAAACAACTAGGTTTGTCAACATTCATACTGAATTCTCTATGCCTATAAACTATATAATACTTTGAATATAACTGGTGAACGTATGGTGGTGACAGAGAACGCGTCGCAGCCGTACCAGGCGACGGTGTACATCGGCGGCATGCAGTACGGCGTGGGGCAGGGCTCCAGCAAGCGGCAGGCCAAGTCGGCCGCCGCGCGTGCTTCCATCCACATCCTCATCCCGGAGATGCGCGACGACCAAACGCCGCCCACCGCCGCCGCTGCAGACCGGGACTTCTCGGTACGCATACTATGTCGACACAGTCACTACACACTGTCGACACGCCTACCTCGCATTATCGACACGCCTTCCTCACATTGTCGACACGCCTTCCTCACATTGTCGACATTGCCACTATACTTGTAATGGAGACTGAGAATCCTATTGCTAGCAATATACCCAACCAGGTTAACCTCCTCACGGTTCTCCCTGGAAACTATCATGGTTAATTCCTGATGAATTCATCATGATGGGCTAACTGGCCTGTTTTCATTTTCATCTATCCCTTTCACTGGTGCTCCGCCAGCGTATCCCGTTAGCGCAGCCAACCAAACCATTTTTACCCATCAAAAAAAAAAGGAACTGTCGACACTGCCACCTCACTCGCGACGTGTCGACACGCTGACACTGTATGTTGCTATTATATACACAGTTTGATATAGAACCTGCCAACTCACACTGGTAACTGATTTCATAATAAATTCTATTTATATTTGGTGTTATTCTACAGTTCTTCGACGAAGTGGGCATCGAGGACCCTCGGATCACGGAAATCTGTGCGGCGACGTGCGAACCCTCCCCGCACGATATACTGAGGACCTGCCTGCTGAGGAACTTCGGCGCTGGCGAGCGGCACATACACACCGAGGTGAGATAGCTTTCATGATAATTTCGCCTTATACACGATACATTTCAGACGACGAGTATGGAATCGCATTTTTCTATGCACTATTTTTATGGCACTTTGTCACATATATTTTTTTTTTTATTTTGATTAAAACATTGTTACAGATGAAGAAACTAGAATTCCAGAAAATAGAGTTGACAATGAAAGTGGGCAAACACACGACGACTGTCGTGTGCAAGAACAAAAAGACGGCGAAGCAACGGGCGTCACAGGCGATACTGCAGGTGAGGTGTCGCGGGAGATCCTGCTGGTATAGACACCATGTATTCCATGACATATAGCTTTGCCCTACTACAGATCCAGGGCCGTTAGAACAGGATCTTCTTCCAGTATTGGATCCAGTGAGGCTTCTAAAGTTTAAAACAATCTTTCACTTACAGTTGCTGCACCCCCACGTCCGCTCGTGGGGCTCGCTCCTCCGTCTGTACGGCTCACGCTCCGTGAAAAGCTGCAAAGAGAAGAAACTAGAAGAGCAGGAGATCACTCTCTTGCAGGACAAAGCTCGTCACAACGAGCCTAATTACGCTGTGATAGAAAAACTAAGGCATGAAATGAGGAAACTAAAGGAGCGGGACGAGGCCGTGGTGCCTATCGGTACTCTGCTTCTCAAGGACGACCTGCCCACGCATTCTGGATCCAACCTTAACAATGTAGACCTCTGAGGCTAATATGAAACTCCAGGTGGAGGTTAAAGAATTAATTTGTTCGCTTGGCTTTGTAGCAGTATTGTGTTTCTTATATGAAACTAGCTTTATGCCCGCTACTTTGTCCGCGTGGATTACAGAAGTAGGAAAATCAATGAAATAGGCCGCTTCTAAATCAAGATGAAACATATACCACATTTTAAGTTAGACATTCAGGAACACAAGTGTATCAGAAATCACATCCAGTTTAGAACAATAGTTTTTGCGTAATGACGATATACATATACAGATAGAATTACTAAAAATATTTGTTTTGCCTTTTTATCAATCCTCTTTTTTCCCTATTTAGGGTCCGCCCTCGTAGTTTTTTACACCATTCTTGGCGGCTCTGCGTCTATTACTTTTATTGGTCTTAAGATTTTTTTTAAAATATCTCCTTCGTACATCGTTTAGTCACAATTTATTTATTATTGTACATAACTAGATGAGTATGCGATAAGTGAACACAGAGGTCACACACACACGCCTACGCTCACGCACACACCCACGCACACGCACACGCACACGCACACGCGCACACACACGCACACGCGCACACACACGCACACGCGCACACACACGCACGCATGCACGCACGCACGCACGCACACATACACTGCATTAATCATCAGACAAAGGTCGTGCGGCCAGCTGTATGCACTAGTCCTACCCACATATATAACATCACTCCCCCTCACTGTGAAAATGTAGAAAATATAACCATTTTTAAGATTCTGTGCCTGTTTTGTGAATATGATATTAATTTCAACTCGATACCTCCACACGTGCCTAAGAAAAAGTCTTGACAGACAAACGAACAGACGGACGACAAAATGATCCTATAAGGGTACCATTTTTTTCTTTGGAGAAGAAAAAATTTCTTAGGTATCGAAACGAAATTAATATGATAAACTCAAAGTCTGCAGTCTCTTAAAGCAGTGAAAAAAAAAATCAAGCTTCTAAATCGACGCAATCAAAAGATACGGCCGTTTATATTCCATTTACCAGAGGGAGACTTTGTACAAAGTCGATTGCTTGGGTACCTCTGTCCCATTCGTGTTTCAACCGTAAAGCAGTTGTGTTTGCATAGCTGTGTTTCGGTTTGAAGGGTGGGATATGGCGTGAATTTACTGGGTACAGAGGAATAACACCTGAGTCCTCAGGAATGGCAACGCATGGGGGATATCATGGGCGAAACAGTATACTCTGTTATGTCCATTGTACTGCTCATGTCTATAGGCGACGGTTTCCACTTTCCATCAGGTGGGCCGTCAATTTGATTGCCATTGCATGCCATGCAAACACAACTGCTTCACGGTAGAAACACGAATAGGACAGAGGTCCCTAAGCAAACGACTTTTGTACAAAGTCTCCCTCTGGTATTCTTTTCACATCTATTGCTCTTAAAACGCCTTATATATAATTTTTTTTAAACATCTATAAACAAACACCGTCTAATGACAATTTTATTATTAATAACACATGGAAACGCAAATAAAAATATGACACCTAAGCTGGGTCAAGGTAGGTCGCGTAAAAGAAGTTTGTAGGTCATAGAACAAATGGTACTTACCTTGACACCTCACCCCTCAGACTGTTTCCGGAGATCACGGCACGTGGATATCACAAAATATTTAAACAACTATCACACAATTGTATATATAACACTATATTAATTACTAGTGATAAAATATAGCAGAAAGTAGTCCAAAAAACAAGTCGTTTACCAATATATAGATAAAATAGCTCGTTGCATGGCGGTATGCGGCAGACATTGGACTGAGCCGACCATTTTTTTTTCTGTTAGGGGAATATCACGCAATTGGAGGGTAGTACAGTATTTATAGGGATGTAACGTGACAGTCTTACTACCTGTCACACTGCCGGTGTGTGATCTCAAAAGTCAATCTTTACTAGGGCTGCAATCCGTTCGGAATTTTCCGGATCTGTTCTAGATTGAAGGGCGTCCGGCAGGGGTATCCGAGTGTAACCCGGACACTTTAGTTGTCAGGAAAAATCTAATTTTCTTATAGGTTATTTATCAATTGAAATAAATCTTAGTTACAAATTAATCGACAATAACCCTGGTTTTATTTTTTTTACAAAAAATATTTTTTTCAGAAGTGTTCGGGGAAAAAACTATATTTCGCTCAAATGTCCGGAATTTTTGCTCTGTTTATACGGTGTCGTCTATTTCGGTGATGGCACCCCTAAACTTCACCATCACAATTGTTAGTAAGTTACTCTTAGGCAGATGTAATCTCAAGTCAGTCTATGGTATAACATCACAATATCTTGTTCCAGTCTAGTCTAGATTTTAACTCATTTATTAATGTCGCATTTAAGTTTTTAATGTAATTAAATCAATTTTAATAATGTATAAACTAAATATAGCAATAGGTAGGCCAATTTACTGTATACAATTATTAAAAAATATCAACAAATTGCTTGTTTTTTTTTTAATTCTTTCAACAACTTTGAGAAAAGAGGTTATACAAATCGGTTTTTTTTTTAATTTTTATTTTACGTGTATTATTACCTCATAACTCTTGAATGGTGGGGGGAAAGGGATTGTTAGTAATGAAGACTGAGAATCCCATTGCTAGCAATGTACCCCACCAGGTGGACCTCGCGGTTCTCCCTGGAAACTATCATGGTTAATTCCTGATGAATTCATCATGATGGGCTAACTGGCCTGTTTTCATTCTCATCTATCACCCTTCACTGGTGCTCCGCCAACGTATCTCGTTAGCGCAGGCGGGGTTACCATACTATTTTCACCCATCAAAAAAAAAAACTCTTGGGTGGTAAACCGATTTGGAAAATTCTTATTTATTTGAAAGAATATATATAGGTATATATATATATATATATATATATATATATATATATATATATATATATATATATTTGTTTTTTAAATTAGTTTTTTTTTAACATAGTACTAAGATTTTATTATTGTTAACCGAATGAATAATTGGCATACAATGGAAACAGGTGTAATCACTTGTATCTACCCGCAAATAAATTTGGGGGAGAAGGGATTGTTAGTAATGCAGACTATTAATCCCATTGAATGAATGAGTATACTTTACTTGCATTATACAATATAGGGAATATTTTCACAGTTCATAGTTCATCAATAGTTTCGCCCATGATACCCCCCATGCGTTGCCATTCCTGAGGACTCAGGTGTTATTCCTCCGTACCCTGTAAATTCACGCCATATCCCACCCTTCAAACCGAAACACAGCCATGCAAACACAACTGCTTCACGGTTGAAACACGAATGGGACAGAGGTACCCAAGCAATCGACTTTTGTACAAAGTCTCCCTCTGGTAATGAAGTGGTAACCCTTCTTGCGCTAACGGTATACGCTGCCGAGGCACCAGTCAGGGGTAATAGGTGAGGATAAAAGCAGATTCATTAGCCCATCGTTTCGAATTCCGCTAGATTTAACCACGATAGTTTCCAGGGGGAACCGCGTGAAGGTCGGCCTGATTGGGTGTATTGCTAGTAATGATAGTAATGGGAGAATTAGACTCCGTTACTAACAATCCCTTTCCCCCACTTTATTGTGATATACTGTGTCTAGCAGTGGGACGTCGTTGAATATGAGTTCATGAGACATTACTAGCCGGCCAATACCTTTTTCTAGGGAGAAAGGTTAGCAATGGAGTTTAGCAGCCCCTTAGCTAGCAATATACCCTATCAGGTCAACCTCCACGTGGTTCCCGCTGGAAACCATCGTGAACAATTCTTGTTGAATTCGTCACGATGGGCTAACTGACCTGCTTCATCCTCACCTATCATCCCTCACTGGTGCCTCGCCGGTGTATACCGATAGCGCGGGCGGAGTTACCATTCCATTATCACCCATTAAAAAAAAATACCTTTATCTGACAGAACACCAGTGAAGGATGATATGCGAGGGTAAAGTCAACTTAGTCGACCCATTATGACGAATCCCTGCTCAATACCTAATAGGGTATATTGCTAGCAATGGGACACTTATCCCCAATATAAACAATCCCCTCTACTATCAATCAATCAATACATATAATAAAATCGTAACTAATCGATGTATAACTATGTATACTTATTATTATCTAAATTAACTAAATAAGTAAATCGGGGAAAAAATTATTGTTAGTAATGGCACAGATAATATAATACTATACTAGTACAGATACATCATCTTGAACAAACAAGTGAAAAGCTCTAAGTCGGTTTATTCTTCGGCTTAATTTTCAGTTGTTCATATGTGCGCTAGATGCCGCTACTTTCTTAGCCGCTCGCCAGTTCAAGCAAATAAATGTATTTACCGATGCCTACTAATTGCGTAAGCAACTTATAGATGGCGTAAATATCTGTGGCGTTTGCTATTGTTGTGGAATGTTTTACCTATACATATAAATAATAATTACCTATCTATTTGAATCGTTTCGGCGGTCTCGTCTTGCGTTTATACATATATAGTTCAGTAGGTAAGTATGAAACCATTCGTGTTTCAACCGTGAAGCAGTTGTGTTTGCATGGCTGTGTTTCGGTTTGAAGGGTGGGATATGGCGTGAATTTACTGGGTACAGAGGAATGGCAACGCATGGGGGTATCATGGGCGAAACAGTATACTCTGTTATGTCCATGGTACTGCTCATGTCTATAGGCGACGGTTACCACTTTCCATCAGGTGGGCCGTCAGCTTGTTTGCCATTCTAAGTTGTATCAAAAAAAAAAAAAAAAAAAAAAAAAAAAAAAAAAAAAAAAAAAAAAAAAAAGCTCGCTTTACATGAATCGTGATACGATTTTCTTTACGTAACTCTCCGAATGTGTTAGGTTTTTTTTTATTATATAAATAGATAAGTATTTAGTATACTCGTCTTATCGTATCGTTCTATATTTGTCATTTCCGAACTAATTTAGTTACTTTAATTTAATATGCTTTATGTATTCTTGCGTTCATTGCATGTAAATTTTGTGATAGATAAAGCGTTTTTGTGGAACAAAATGTTAGTACTGTGTGAGGATGATGATGATGATGAAATCAGTCACTAACTTTTAATGGGATTACCTACCTACCTACCTACCTACCTACCACCGTTTGCGTTGTTGGTATATACTAGCAGAGTACTTACCAGTCAACGTATAATATACAAGTTAAAGTCAAATCAGACGGCTCATCATGATTAATTCACCAGGAATAAACCACGAAATAATATACCCTGTCAATGTCGACCTTTATTATTACCTGTATATTATCGTAGGAAATTTTTGATAAATTCGTCACAATGAGATCGCTTCATTTTTAATGGACTTCAAAAAGAAGTAAGTTCTCAATTTGGATATATTTTTTATGTCTGTTACTTCATAACTCCGTCAGTTTTAAATCGATTTGGATTTTTTTTTCTGAAAGGATTACTGACACATTAGTCCTATAAATCCGATATTCGAAATAATTTACGTAATAAATACAAATATGATATTTGTCTACCAACAATAAATAGTTATACATATGGAAGGAGTGCAATTGTAATGGGTATTAAAGTATTTAATCATCTTCCCTTAAACATTAAATGTCAGGATAAGCATATGTTTAAAATTAAACTCAAAGCCTGGCTTTTTGATAATGTTTTTTATAACTTAAATGAATACTTTAATCTTAAAACTCATTAAATTAATAATTAATAATAATTGACATGTAAGCGAAATTATGTTTATTTTATTGTAATTTGGTTATGATTATTCATTGTCTTATTAATTGTATTGCATTTTTTTTTTACAGCACAGGGGGCAAACGAGCATGCGGCTCACCTGATGGTAAGTGACTACCGCCGCCCATGATCACCCACAACACCAGCGGCATTGCAGGTGTGCTGCCGGCCTTTTAAAAAGGAATATACTCTTTTCTTGAAGGTTATGTTGTCGTATCGGTTCGGAAATACTGCTGCTGGAAGTTGATTCCAAAGAGTGGTTGTGCGTGGAAGAAAGTGCATTGAAAAACGCACGGTGGAAGACCGCCACTCGTCCAGATGATTGGGATGAAACTTTAGTTTGTGGCGGGTTGTACAGTGGTGAAAATCAGCAGCAGGTATCAATCCGAACAATTCCTCAGAACACTCCCCATGATAAATTCGGTAGAAGATGCACAGAGATGCAACATCTCTGCGCAGTTTCAGTGGGTCGAGTCGGACAGTAAGGCGTTGACTATCGATAATTCGAGCCGCCCGGCTTTGAATGCGGTCTAACGGAAGGAGTTGGTACTGTGGCGCTCCTGCCCACAGGTGAGAACAGTATTCCATATGCGGCCTGACTTGGGCTTTATATAATTTCAGGCGGTGTTCTGGCATGAAATATCGTCTCACCCTATTGAGCACTCCTAACTTTTTGGAAGCTATCTTAGCCTTCTCCTCCAGATGACCGCAAAACTGGACGTCGCAAGATATATCAACGCCCAGAATTCCTAGACTCGACTTTTTATCAAGGGAAGTGCCCTGAAAGTGAGGAGGTACGACAAACGGCGTCTTTTTTGCGGTAAACGCGCAGACTTGTGTCTTTTTGGGGTTAAATTGGACAAGATTTTGTTCACCCCAGATCGAAACTTGATGGAGTGAAGTTTCGATTTCAGACACAAGTCTATTCCGGCACTCATCGGTATGTGCCCGCGAGATCTTTGCATGACCGGTATATAATGTATCTCCTGTACTGTCGTCTGCATAGCAATGAATATTACTTATCTGTAACATATCATTGATATGCAGAAGAAACAGAGTCGGAGATAGTACACAGCCTTGCGGGACACCAGTATTCAAAGGTTTTAAATCAGAGCATGCTCCGTCGACTACGACCTTAATGCTACGTTCCTTGAGAAAACTGGCGATCCAAATGCACAGTCTCGCAGGCAACCCAAATGAAGGTAGCTTTGAAAGCAGCGCTCTATGCCACACCCGATCAAAGGCCTTCGCAATATCCAGACTAACTGCTAAGGCCTCTCCCTTACTCTCGATTGCCACTGCCCATCGGTGTGTTAAGTAAGCTAAAAGATCACCGGCCGAATAATATATATATCATAATATTTCATATTTATTTGTAATCAAGTAATGTTTCGATCTTAATATAATTACCTGTTCTTAAATTGTTGCATGTCCGATAGGGTATAACTGTTGATACTGATGTCAAATCCAAAGCAATGGTTACTGCTACATGTATGTACACAGTTAGCAATAAAATTCTATTCTATTCTATTCTATTCTATAGTGTCCGAGTGTCAAGTGTCTGAGTGTCTAGTGTCAGTGTTTCCAGTGTCTGAGTGTCTCGAGACCGTGTCTGAATGTCTAGTGTCTAAGTGTCTGAGTGTCTAGTGTCCGAGTGTCTAGTGTCCGAGTGTCTAGTGTCTGAGTGTCTGGTGTCTAGTGTCTGAGTGTCTAGTGTTCGAGTGTCAAGTGT